ATTAGGGGACATCAAAATATGACTTCCGAACATGTCCAACCCCAACGCATCTGTCCCGGCACTGCTCTCATCCTCCAGAGTGTCCGGACCCAGGCACGCCTGAACCTCTGCTTCGCGGCTGGTGGAGCGCTCGACCTTCAGCCCGCCCTCCGGGAGCACCTCCGACAGAGCCGCCGAGCCGCCCACAACATCCTGCCGTCGCGTGGCAGCGGCGAACGCCCTCACCGCGTCCGTCGCCGGTCCGCAGCCAGCATTGTCCCAGAGGCCAACGTCGTCGTCTGCACGCTCATGAGGCTTCAAGTCCACTTGCTCATCAGTGATTGAATCTGTCTCTCGGTCAGTGAATGACTCCGGTTTTTGGTCAACGGCGGGGTCCGTCGGCTGGTTCCGGATATAGTTCACTTGCAGATACCCGATGGAGTCCATCTGCTGGTCCGTGGTGAGCTCTGGCTTCAGGTTTGCAGCGAGGTCTGACTGGTAAGTGGCAGGGTCCGACGGCTGGCTGTCAGCTGAGTCCATCTGCTGGTCCGTGGTGAGCTCTGGCTTCAGGTTTGCAGCGAGGTCTGACTGGTTAGCGGCAGGGCCCGACGGCTGGCTGTCAGCTGAGTCCATCTGCTGGTCGGTGGTGAGCTCTGGCTTCAGGTATCCAGCGAGGTCTGACTGGTTAGCGGCAGGGTCCGACGGCTGGCTGTCAGCTGAGTCCATCTGCTGGTCGGTGGTGAGCTCTGGCTTCAGGTATCCAGCGAGGTCTGACTGGTTAGCGGCAGGGCCCGACGGCTGGCTGTCAGCCGAGTCCATCCGCTGGTCCGTGTCTGAGGCCGGCTGCGGATCCAGGACAGCCTGTGGCATCGCCCGTCGCTCTACCAGCTTGGACTCAGGGGTGGGGAGACCGTCGCCGCCCGGTAACGGTGCCGCGCAGACAGCGGCCACGGCGAGCAGCGCCCTCTCCCGACTCACTAGCTCGGTCGTCACGCGGTAATCCCGCCTCCGCCACGCGTCCAGGCCGCCGCGCACGGCGTCCGAACGCACCATCCTGCCGAACGCGCCGCCCCGCCGCGCCGCAGCCGTCACCTCCGAGCTGCGCACGAGAACCTGGCGGTGACCATCGTACACGAACTGCGCGCAGTCGGCGTCGCGGCTGGGCGTGTCCCAGGCGCGCCGCACGCCCAGCGACTGGTGCATGACCTTGCCGAGTGGCAGGAGGTGGCCGGCGCGGTGCACCTGCAGATCACGCGACGAGCGGGGCGGCGCCAGAGCGCGCGGCGGCCGCAGCAGCGCGTGCAGCGGTCGCCAGTCGCCGGTCGGCGCGTCCTTCGCGGCTGCCGCCGTTGCCACCGCACGCGCGGCACGCAATTCCTCTGGGGAACGAAGTCCGAGCCAGACCTGCTTTTCCAGCACCGTCTTGAACTTGGGCTGCGTCGGGTCACGATCAAAGTGGACGGGGGCCTGGGTTGGCGGCGGCGGTGGGACCTCCTCCCGCCTGGGGTCCTCCATCGGCATGAGGCAGCCCGGCACGGGAAAGCTCAGCTGCAGCGGGCCCTCCCCCGCCAGGTAAACGTCCAGGGTGTTGCTGCGGAAGATCCCGTGCGGTGGTGGTGCTTCCTCGCCAGAGAGCTGCTCGGAGCGCTCGGCCAGCGTCGCACAGGGCGGCACTTGCACCAGGTCCCCGGGCGGTGGAGAGGCAGGTGCGAACGCCTCGCGCGCCAGCTCGCTGATCGCGCCGTACCCGCAGTGGGCCGAAACCTCCTCCCTCTGCACCGGCTGGTTGGAGCGCCATCCCGTCACAAGCGGAGTATCCCACGTGGAAGCCGGGTTAGCGGCCGTGAAAGCGAAGCGGCCCCCGCCGGGTGTGGAGTAGCGCGCGCCAGAGCGTACCGCACCGGTCCTCCGCAACTGCTGGACCGACGAACCCATGCGGCGCACCTGCTGCTTCTTCTCGGTCAATCCACCACCCGGGCAGGTCCGCCCTGTCTTGACGCCGTCGTCCGCTGTCAAGGACGCCACGTAGGGCGCCTTTTCCAGAGGCCGGCGTCCCAGCAGACGACGCGGGCCTGAAGCATCCTGAGGTGCTTTGGTGCCAGACACGGACTTCTGATCAATTTTAAAGCAAAGTTTCCGGTTAATGACCTTAAAGGACTTCGCGCCGGACCCCTGACTTCCACTTCCTGCGCGTACAGAACGCGCGACCAGCAACGGCAAGCCACCTTTCCGTCCTTCGTATGTCACAACACGTGGCGAGGGCGCAGATCTTCCCACATCTATTGTGATGCTCTTCAGTGCCTTCTTTGACGGGCTTCTTGCCATGGACGTCTGATTCAACACACAGCTGTCTACAACCTCTCCGAAAAAGGTTCTCTTTTGCACGATTCCCTTGCGTCGCCGCGTCAGCGCCACCTCCGGCAGCAGCACGGGTGGCTCGTCGTACACGCAGCCGGACTCGTCGTCACCGTCTATTGTGATGACCTCTGGTTCCAAGACCGGTGGGCCCCTGCTCGATTTACTGCTGGGCATGGCATCTGTGCTCCTCCCAGGACCAGTAGCATCCTCATGTGGCTCACTGCATGCAGAGTTGGGCACTTCAGGCAGCAAAGTTGGTGGTCCAGAGGACAAGAGTGACAGGTCCTCAGAAAGCACTGTGAAGTCTAACACATCCATCTCCTCAGCTTTAGCATCATGGCTGCCTTTGGCAATGGCAAGATCATTTTCAATGGTAACAGCACTATTTTCATTTTGACTTTGCACTGCTGGCAGGGAGGAGGTCATTGCCAGATTTTCTTCATGGGTGTCTCCAATAGACTCCTCACACTCACCTGTCAGTGCAGCATCTTCATTGTGATCTTGCCATGTTAGTAGTGATGAAGACATTGTCACATCATCATTATGATTGTTCATAGTGGGAGGAATTTGACTTTTACCATTCCAGACCCCATTTTCATTTTGAGATTCAGCTGCTGGTGGTATCACAGACATTACCAGGTCCTTGCTGTGGATGTTTTCATTTCCACATGCACCATCTTCATCAGTCTCTGTATTGCCACCTTCTTTTTTACCCTGGTCTGTTGGCCCTGATGAAGGCATCACCAGGTTGTTGCCACATATGTCTTCTGAAGTAGGAGTGTCATTTACAACCATCATGGTGCTGTTAACAGCTTGGTCTTTGCCAGTTGGAAATGATGGTACAGACCAGTTTCCATCATCAAATGTTTCAGCACCTAGCAAAGGCTTTGATAATGCCATTCTACCTCAGTATGGAATGCCTTTCTTGCCTTTCTTGCCTTCAAGATTCAATTGCTTCATAAAACAGGTCAGTAGCTTGCAACCACCATGTCACAGCTCTTCATGCATTGACCCATTCATGTTGCTAAATCCTCACATGACATCTCTTACTTGATGCCTTCAAGCATTGGAAGATACCTGTAACCACAATTAACATTTGAGTGTTACAATTATACTTACATCTGCAGCAACATGCTAAAATTCATACCGCATGAACAGAACCACCAATCACAACCCACCTGTCATATAATACATATGCAGACTGGATGCCATTTCCACCAGATGTCTCAGAAACTGGGGCTAGATATCTCATTGCAGTTGGGGTCTCAACACTTTTGAAGCAAGATCTAGAGCTGTTTCCAGTCTAATATATCTAGCATAACCCACAACCTTAAAGTAATCTCTTGGAATCCACATAGGGTCTACAAGTACACTCTCGACAGACCAAAATCCCATACATGTTAACGACTGCAATCATGTCCCAGCTAAGGGCAATTATGCAGTAACATGTAAATGCTATAATATTATCAATGTAAACATTTATATTGCAATCCAACTCCTTCCTGAACATAACAGTTCAATAAACTTGGGTTGCACAGGGACATTTGCACTATTTATGTGTAGTACAAAATCCATGTTTATGCTTCCAAGCAATCAGACACTTTCTCATTAGCTAGGAAACTTCAGTTCCCACTCTAGTCTTATTCAGCTAGTGTATCATTACCCACTCATCCAAACTTATTGTACTACTTTAGTTCAAGTTAGTCTCCATACCAAAACACACCACAAACACATAATCCATGGTGCAGACTGCTGAACATTAAGGACAAAAATTCCTGGTGCACAAGCAATATGACAAATATAACACCAATCAGCGTAGGAATATAAGACATTAAATCATGCCCCAAATGCATTATTTCCACATGCATATCACAACAAAGGTCGCCACAAAGTTCATCAAACCTACACCACACCAGCATGTGCTTTATCACTGTAAAATGCAAACATTTACCATACGATCCCACGGCTTATTTGGTAATGCAAATCCCCCGTCCCCGCACGAGACAGATGCTGGGGCAAGCCAGGGCAGACTGTATACTACCCGTGGGGACTCCCGTCCGGGGAATGTATGTATGAAAATAAGTATGAATGGACTTACCGCCGTACAAATGCCCACTGTCCGTCAAACGCTGGTTACGTGCAAATTTTGCAAGCCCTCCCAAATGACATTTCGTCCTACTCGAACGAAACCGTCGCCCGTACCAATGCTAGCAGCTTTTCAGCAGGTATTTTACCATGCCTGTCCCTGTATCAAACTGGTTCCTCCTTTTAACACTACTATGTAACATAGGATTACCAAGGGGCCTCTTTCAGCTGGCATCACCAGGGCTGTGTCATGGGACAACGCCTGAAAAATCTGTAATCGAATTACTGTAACAAGAAAGCATGGATTTTAACACTATTTGCATGGTCAAAAGACTACTAGCAGTATAATAAGCTACCGAACGTCCAAATTTTTTGACAACCTTGCAACACCCCGGCCACGGCTTGTGTTCGCTATAAGCATGCAGTTGCACCTATTTTCGCAGCTTTGGCCTAATCATTGGCTAAGACACTGTTTTACAAAAAAAGTTCGCAGCAGAACGCTAAGTTTGAACATAATAATGATTTTCTTTCATTTCCAGGCACCGTGCTCGAAAATGCTTGTATTGCGCATGGAATGTGGTGCGCGTGGTTGTCGTGGTTGTGATGGTTGGGTTCGGGTGGCCCTCGTGTGCTCATCGGCGTCAACGTGCCAGTTAATTTCTTGTCGAGACGTAAAGATGCGATCGTTCAAACGGTGCGACACAAGTTGAACTGTACTACCTACTAAGAGCACGGACCACAGAGTAGGAAGGGTGAGCGGTAAGAAAATGTTTCTTTTCCGGCGGTCTCGATTTGAGAGCCTGTCATGTTGGTGCGTGTTGGCGGTGGTACGCGTTAAACATCGTAGTTTTGCTAAAACTGATACTGGTACATTAAGATGTGCTGGATCTGACGCTGGTATAGGCTCACTCAAAATCAAGCTAGGCCACAAGACGCTAGATTTTCCAGTTATTTTTGCATGAAATTCTTTGGGAAACGTTTTTCCTGGCATGGCCTTGCAACATCTTAGTTCCTTGAATTGCTGACATTTTACAATGCAATTGGGGGGTCAGGGTGTACTTTCCTACATAACATTAGAAAAAATCATTGTACACCATTTGTAGTGTTTAAGGCAGGACATATAAATAATCAAAACAGGTAGATTCTTGCCCTTACCTTCAATTTTTTTATAATTAGGATGGCGAGCTCCTGAGCGCCTCACACACACACACACACAGCAGCCGTGACACCGGCGCCATTACTGTGCGCGGTCGCAACATTACTGGACATCAAGCATGCATTAAGAACATAAAAAATGGACATGGGGCCAAGGTCAACAGAATGCCATGAAATTCGAGCCTTGATGTCAAGGGGATGATGGTTTGCAGGAGGATTTGGGTGGGGGAATGTAAAGCCAATGAGAACAATGGTGGCTAAATAAAAGCTCATAACGATGAACAGCACCTATATATATGGGCATGGAACAATGGATGCCCATGGGATGCTGGGTTGAAGGGATGTAGGGTGTGGAGGATTAGCTTAGCTTAGCTTAGCTTAGCTTAAGCTTAGCTTAGCTTAGCTTAGGTTAGCTAGTTAGTCTTAGGTTAGATTAGTAGCTTAGCTCAGCTCAGCCGCTAGCTTGGGTATTCTGTAGTCTAGCTTAGCTTTAGCTCAGCTCAGCTTAGGGTTCTGGTCTATTCTTGGTTAGGTTAGGTTAGGTTAGGTTAGGTTAGGTTAGGTTAGGTTAGGTTAGGTTAGGTTAGGTTAGGTTAGGTTAGGTTAGGTTAGGTTGGGTTAGGTTAGGTTAGGTTAGGTTAGGTTAGGTTAGGTTAGGTTAGGTTAGGTTAGGTTAGGTTAGGTTAGGTTAGGTTAGGTTAGGTTAGGCTAGACTAGGCTAGGTTAGGCTAGGCTAGGCTAGTTCAGGCTATGTTCTGGACTATTCTGGCCTGTGCGTTTCATAAATGTACCTAAACGCGATAAACGATTTTCATTGCATTATTATTGTTTCCTTGGTCCCATATATTTTTTTATAGTTCTTGGTAAGCAGAAATATTGTAATTACGCAATAGCAACACAGAAACGTCGCTGGGGAGTCCAGGCGGTGCTGTGCATGCTCGCTCGGGAGCTCGCCATCAAAATGATCAAAATTCAAAGGTAGGAGCATGATTCTACCTGTTTTGAGATTATTTATGATATGTTCTGCCTTAAACACAGCAAATGGTGTACAATGATTTTTTCTAACATTTGGTAGGAAGTACACATACACCCTAACCTAACCTCCCCATCTTCCCCTTCAACACAGTGTCCCATTGGCATCCATGTTCCATGTCATATATGCATCATATTATGAAGTTTTGTGAAGCTGCCATGTTCTCATTTTACCTTTCATTCCCCACCCAAAGACGTCATATTTGCCACCCATGCCAACCAATCTACAAATAGTATGGAAGACTGCTTGGATATGCAGAAACATATTTCAATGGATTCTTGTTACATTGGCCCCACACATTTTTATGGTTCTTGATGCACAGGAATGTTGTGACCATTCCTTCCAATGGTGCCGGGGTCACAGTTGCTGTGTGTTTCCAGCGCTCAAATGTTTGCTATCATTGTTATTTAAGTTCTAAGGTAAGAGGATAGATGACCTGTTTTACAATTATTTGCAGTATGTTCTGCCTTAAACATGACAATTGATGTACAATGCTCTTTTTTAATGCTAGGTACCAATGTATACCATGACCTAATGTGCAACTACAGTTTGGTGTAACATTGCTGCTTTTCCATCCCCTGCCCCTTCTTGCATTTTAGTCACGTTCCCTAAAGGCTTTGTCCCTCATAATTGAATAGGCCCCTTATCCCAATATTAAAATAAGATTTGTTCAGCCAAAGACTTACAATGAACTGCACACACATGCATACACACATGCATGCACGCACGCACGCACGCACGCACGCACGCACGCATGCACGCATGCACGCACGCACATACATATATATATATATATATATATATATATATATATATATATATTGTCACAGAACATGCATGGGATTGTGGTTGAAGACCTGATTGTAGGTAGATTTACTGAGCATTTTTGCACCTGCTCTCAGTTTTCTTAGCACTGTTTTTGTTCAGCATTCAGATTGAAATTCACTTGTCAATGAAAAGCATCTATTAGTTGGCCTGGTGATTCAGATTGAACACATTTTCCACTTCCAGATTTACACACAATATATTAACATAAAATATAATGACAGAAAAGCTGTATGTAGCCTGTTTAAGTTTGGTTGTCAAATCATAGTCAAAATTAGTCTGTTAGAATTTCAAGGAGCATGATAATTTGAATGGAAAAATATGTGCCAAAAAGTAAGATACACCATCCAAACTGACAGTAGCAATCATTTCTGAATGAGATAAGGAGGACTGAGTGGCTAGGTTGTTTGTTGAATTCCATAGACAGTGTTTTGATGGGGACAGTCTCCTGAACATAAAACTTTCTTCTGTTTGATGTTGGCATTGTGATACTGATGTTCCTTGTGAGGCTGTGTAGGGTTCCTGCCAGCTGTGCTCCTGTCTCATGTTCTGCCTTGAGTGTGGTGATAGTGACACATTTGGCCATTAGGTTATTTTCATGGCAGTAGGGGAACCTCTCTGTTTTGTAGCAGCCCATGAGTGTTATCTTTCCATCCTGGCTGACTGCTTTGGTCTTGTTGGATTGATTTTTGGTCATGATATTCATTCTCACCCTATATTGTAGCTATCATACTTTGTATTCTAATGCAACAGTTTGGCTTGATTTTGTTTACATTTGATGCAGTCAGTTCAGGTCTAACACCTGATAAAGCAGCTGATGTCAAGATTGATAACAAAGTTAAGTAGGCATTATTTATAAGGACTTGTTTGTTGCACTGCTGTTTACTGAATAATGGCATCCAACAAGAGCAGAGCTTGAAGGTGCTTTGGAAGAAATAGGGTGCTGGCACTGATCTACACTGCAAGAATTTCTGCCATGTGGCCAGGTCTTTGTTGGTACTTCATTCAGACATTAAAAGTGCCACCTAGCCTCTCCACACCAGGTAGCCTGTTCACAGTAGCTGCACGAGGTATATGTGTGACATCTTATGCTGGTGCCACAGGAGGGCACCATGGCGTCGGTGTACCCGTGCAAGGACACCGACGAGTGCGTGGAGTTGTCGCGCGCCCACGGCCTGTATTTGCGCCCTATCGCGTGCATCAACATCTCGGTGCAGATGCCACCGCTGAAGGCGCCCGGCAAGTCCATCTCCAGCTGGGCCGTCCGTGAGAAGGTGACCGCCATGATCGACGAGGGCAAACTGGTCTCTCTCAAAGGTGAGATTCATCCATGTTTACTGTGGACTGACTTAGAGCTGCTGCACCAGCCCCCTTGAAAACAGGTGTTAACAGACCAGATGTTTTGGGGATCATGATAACTAATTGCTACTGCAACAAAAGGGACATTAAGTGGTCCTGGATTTTGTGAAGACCAGGTCTTTGCAGGACTATTATGGTGCAGTGGGCTAACTCTCTGCATATAACCAAAATGAATGAGAGGAGTATGTCACAGATATTACTCACATTGAATTAAAAAGCTTTTTTTGGTGGAGCCATTGGCTGTAAATGGCTTGGGGCACCAGGCTGCGTGCATGGCCACCTGACGCCCCACACCATTGGGACTTGATGGACTGTTCCATGCACAGGGTTTGGGGTGGCTGGCTTCAGGGTCCATAGGCTGCTGCATGATTTTGTGTCCTTGGGATGAACAAGATTGGTGAAGTGGAGATGGTGATTGTGCTACCCGTGTGTGACGCATGTCATCCTTAGTATACCCATGGAAACTGCATTTTGTATTTATGTATTCACTGGCATTCGTGATAAGTGATGGGTGCTATTAGCTTTCATAGTGAGTTTCATCCCTCATTGTTAGAGTGCAGAGGTTTGCATGCTTGTGCTGTCCGGAAAACCGCAAGACCTTGTCGACGGAGCTTGGACTGGCTATGCTCTGGACCAAAGCACTCTGAGCGACGAATCCGTAGCTCTGCACCACCATGCACCAGCTCATTTACGTTGAGTGTCCTGTTCAGTGCGCTTGCGAAGCACCAACTAGGCAAAAACATACCGGACAGGTGATCCGTTAAGCTGTGCGGACTATAGGCTATCGCTCTCAGTCCGTCACGAGGTCTATCTCGCTCTGCGCAGTGACCAAGAGCTCGCTGGAGTTTATCCGGTTCGAGGGCGAGCTGGAGAGTCGCCGCTCGCTGAAGAGCGTGCTCGGCCAGCTGGACAATCGCACCATCAAGCTGTCTGGCTTCTCGGGAGCGGTGCTGGTGCGCGCCGCCGAGGCGCGCCTCACCTTTCCCACGCGCCACGACTGGGACTCGTTCTTCCGCGACGACCGCACCATGAACGAGATGCGGCCGGGCGAGCGGCCCGACACGGTGCACCTGCAGAACCTGCCCGTCCGCTGGTTCGCCGACGCCACGTCGGGCGCCGTGGACGAGGCGCTCGTGCGGCGCGTGTTCGAGCAGTGGGGCGACGTGCGCTGCGTGGACGTGCCGGCGCTCGACCGGCTGCGCAAGAAGATGCGCCCGGACATCTCGGGCGTGCGCGCCACCTTCGACCACGCCGACGACGAGACGTTCGAGGCATACATCCAGTACAAGGAGTACATGGGCTTCGTCAAGGCGATGACCTCGCTGCGCGGCATGCGGCTGGTGCACCGCGATGGCGAGCGCTGCTGGACGGCCGCCGTGCGGGTGGACTTTGACCGGACCCGCCACCTGAGCGAGCGCAGCATCAAGCAGCGCCGGCTGGAGCGCGAGCGGCTGCTGCAGGAGGACCGCCAGCTGGACGAGCACGGCCGTCGCTCGCGCCAGCTGGACGAGCTGAAGCAGGCCTCGGCACGGTCAGTTGCGGCGCGCCGCGGCGGCCGCCGTGTGGCTGGCATTGTCGCTGTCGTCGTGTCTGATTTAAAATGCCCGTGGGACTCCACGAATTCCTTGCAATTCCTTGCAACGTAACAAATCATCTGTTACGTTGTAGTTGTGGTTTTTGGTTATCACTTGCGTTGTGGTTGCATGTTTACCTATGATGAGAAAATGTATTTATTTTTAACATAGCGTAATGGTAAAAACAAAACCGGCGAAAATAAGGAAACCGAATGATTTTGAAGAGGTAGCGCTTCAGTTTTCTAAACGTTTTATTGCAAACAGCTTTTCGGTGTTAACAATATTTTGAGGTAGGCCCTGATAAGTGCAAGCGTAAAGGACCTAGCTAAAATAATGGTTTCCTTGTCATGGATGTCGCTTGCATGAAGTGTTGAATATGCTTACCCAATACTGCCCCTTCGTTCAGGCGCAAACAAGAAGATGAAGAACGAGAAAGGAAGCAGCGCGAGAGACGCAGGCACAAGGCTCATGAAGAGAAACGGCGGAAGAAGGAAGAAAAGCGAAGAGCTAAAGAGTTGAAAAAGCAAAAGGAGGAGGAGAAGGCCATGCAAACCAAGATCGAGTTGGAGGAGAGAAAGCTGTTGATAGCACAGAGGAAACTGGAGAGTATACGCCTTCTGGATACCTTGTTCGATCGGGTAAAGGTGAGCATATCCGTGTTGGTGTGTCATACCATTGCGATCGTGGTAGAATCTTTTCAGTTTATTGGCGAAAATACTCGCCGATATGAGGGTACTTGTATGCTCACCAGTTCATGCCAATATTACCTTAAATTATTCAGCATGTTTTTTGTTTTTGTTTTTGTTTTTGTTTTGTTCTTTAGTTGTTGGGAAGGCGTCGCAGAGCACCTGCCCGAATTTGGTGTCAGTCTCCTTTCCCCACAACTTAAAATCACCGGGTGTGTTGCAATTTTGCCTGAAGGCATGAGCTAGATACGTCACACTTTTTAACATTCACTGTTCTTAAGTGCAGGTGGACACTTCACAGTTTGTCCTTGACCTGTGACCTGTGCCTTTTGCCGTGGGCCGAGTAGCGTGACGGATCGTGGAATCCACAACGTTTGACGCGCCCCGGATATGAACTGAGAATGTTTTCACAGAGCCACGGAAGCGAATTGAATGGAAAGAAACATTGGAGTAGACGCTCAAATGAATCGCATAGAAGCTTATGTACTGCTACTTGGCTTTCATTTTCGATCGTGTCTTCATCACATAAGTGCGTAATCATAGCTGGATAAACTACTGGAATTTATCAATGCATACCTGGTAAGTGTGGTAACAGTGAGTGGTACACATCATTGCGGAGTGGTCTGACCACGCCGCTCAAACAAGAACGAAGAATAACGCGAGCGTTCTTCGCTCGTGTCACGTGTGGCACGCTTTGTGCTGTTGTGTTCGATGGGTCATCAATAATCCCGTGTCTTCTTGTGCGAGTCAAAGGCCTGGACCATGGAGCCCTGGGGCTGGGTTTGGTGTTGGTATCAGCAAAAAATCAACGGAATTGAGGAGAAATTGGTCTTTTCAAAGGTTTTAGTTTGCAGAGCTAAAATTATATCGCACATTGGTGCTTGGTGACCGTTAGCCAACTCAAAAATGAATATGCCCCCACAGATGTTCTGATTTCAGCCTGACAGCTTACTGACGACGCAAAGAACATATGAGATATTCCTATGTTTTCAGCCAGACTGGTTTCCCACATAAGCTGTACATGCGGAGGATCGGTCTATTCGCTGAACTGTTGTCACCCGGGTCGACTATCGGGACTGTGCCGGTCGCATCCGACCGAATCGAAATCGTAGCTGACACCGGCTGGTAACACGCTCCTCTGGGTCTAGATCCTAGTCTCCTCCATGCGCCGCTCGCCCAGATCGGGGACGAAGCGATGCTGAGTGCGAGTCTTTCGGAGAGGAGGGGAGGAGGGGCTATCGAGTCGGGCTGCCAGAGGCGCGCCACGTGCCAGCGGGGGGCGACGCTGTCTCACTGGCCGCCCGTGCCGCAGACGGAGCGTCAGAAGACCGAGGTGCAGCTCCGCGAAGCCGAGCTGATCGACTTCCTGGCTGAGCGGCAGCACAAGAAGGCCGAGTCGGAGAGGCGCAGGCTGGTCAGTGCTCCCCGCTCCAGCAGTTGCACTCTGCAGTTGTCGCCCCGTGTCGGCGCCCTTGCAGCTGTACTGTGCAGCCCCTGCCCTGTGTCGCTCCCCCCCCCCCCCCCCCTCCCCCGGCAGGTGTACTCTGCAGTCCCCGTCTGGTGTCGCCCCCCCCCCCCCCCGGCAGGTGTACTTTGCAGTCGGCGCCCTCCCCCGCAGCTGTACCCTGCAGTTCCCACCCGGTGTCGTCGCCGTCCCTTCACCCCCCCCCCCCCCCCCCCACCCCGTAGCCTGCCCGATTGCCGTGCGCTCAGTTTGCGTCCAGTTCATTCGACGTGGAACGAAAGAGCTCGGGGGGGGGGGGGGGAAGGGAGGGATGGGACGTTGGGTTTGTACTAATGATAAATTCAGCGTAGCATTTATCATGTTCGCACATTAATCTGACACTGGTATGTCCATGTGGTGCAGTTTTCGAGATTCTCTGGTTTATTGGTTTCCGAAGCGGTAGTGTTATCACTCTTTCCATTGTTGATGGCTAGCCGTTTCAGGCAAAGGAAAGAGAGGAAAAGGACAAGATGCTGCTCAAGGAGATGAAGCTGCGGGACAAACTGGTCAACACCTACAAGGTGTTCGAGGAGAAGAGGATGGAGGAGCAGCGGGAGAAGCTGCGCAAGGCCATCGAAGGCAAGCAGCAGGTATGCACTCCACCCAGCGTTGTCTGTCGCTGTGCTCCGGTGCCTTGATGGCGGCCTGTTAAAGCACGAACTTTGTCCGCCACAGGGCTGCCTGTCTTCATACTGACCATGATGGATTGCAGACATATCCGTAGATTGTTGGCATCTTCGACCTCGTGGGAGTTGTTATGATTTAAGGATGTGTTTCCTTCCATAGGAGAGGCATTTCACAGCAAATCGACAAGCGCCTTACACCCTTATCCCTTGGATTTTGATTGAATTGGGTCATAGAGGTTGTCATCAGCGCTGGAGTCACCTGTGAGATTTTAAGACCTTTCAGATGCACCGTTTCGCAGTTAGAGCCTCCGGCAATTTCGAGTTGCTTTGTTGCAGGGCTACCTTTGGTGGTGATTTTTCCACTTGCTTGAAAGATAATTTGGCAAACCTACTGGTTGAAATGATCAAAGAGCTCCGGAATATGCGTGTGCTACTCTCGAAATGGTCATTGCACAATAAATAACGGTAAGTAACGATCGGGACATTAGGAATTTGTGCAAGGCGCGAGAACGATTTTCCGATGTGATGTGTATATCTTCCTCATTTGCCTGTGAAAGACCGTAGTTTTATCCCCAAGGCTAGAAAATAAAAAGGTAGTTATTCGCTCAGAAAGGCGTGGCTCATGCACGGACGAATCATGCGTAACGCACGAAGACAGGGCGCGCGGCGCACCACGGCAGCCGTCCGGCCCCCTCCCCCCCCCCCCCATATGTACTGTCGGGGCCGGGTTAATTGGGGCAAGGGGAGGTGAGTGCGTACTGTGAGGTTGATGTCTCTTGTTCATGTGAGGCGACTCAGCAGTCAGGCAAAGGCCCAGTGACATAGGCTTGGGCTAGTACCTGTTGTGCGGCAGGAGCGCGTGGCTGTATTGGCAGTTTCTTTTAACAGTAAAGCGCTCATACAACCCAAGTTGTGCCGACTCATGTGTGAAGCACAAAGCGAAAGTAAGGCTAGGCTTAAAGGGAGTATAAAACAAGAGGAGTATCATGACAAGTCAAAAGTGTTACCTCCTGCCCTTAACAGCTGACAACGACCCGCAGCAGATTCTGCCGTCGTCATGACGACGGCGGCTGTCATGGCGTGCGGCGGTCGCGACAGTTGCAGATGTCGCGGACTCGGGATCCACTCTGGAACTACCGAAAAAGGAATAGAAGAAATGTATCGCTGTTACAGTGTTGACAGCTTCATTTGGGCTCGGAAATTATTAAAGGGTAAAAACTTAACGTAGTGAGTCTTGATGGTGCTGCATTGGCATAGTATTATAAGACTAGTAGCATTATAGGCATATCTAGTAGCATTATAGGCATTATAGGCCCAGTAGCATTATAAGACTAACTGGTCCTGAGGTTTCGCAGGGGAATGTTTTTAAAATATGCCCCAAAGGTGGGACACACCCTTTAAGGACCACATCAAATGAACCGGCCAGTCGTGTCCAACAGTCGCAACACTTCTGTGTTGCAAAGTGTCGCACCTAACTTACTGAAGAGCGCAGAGGCCTTCCTAAGGACAGTAACGCTGAGCCTGTTGCGGAACCGGAATGCGAGTTATTCAGCTCATAGTCCCGTCGTCTTAAACTCAGTGGAGGGCACGAAATTTTACGTGAGCTATTTTTCTACTCGAAGAGGGAAACATCTGAAAAGAAAGCCAGAAGATTGTCTCGTTTTGCGAATCAGGTGTACAATCGATAGGAAATTTCCCGGGTATACGAATCAGTACACGAATATTAAATGATTACGGATGATATACGAATGAAATGATGTATGCCCCGGAAAAGACTATGTATTTGTGAGATATGAACATGTTGATAAGGTGAAAAATAAAAGCGGCGTATTCTAGGCAATCTGCATGAAATTTGCCATCTCAATAGGGACGACGAGAGCAGCCCACAAGTCGGATTTTCCAAATTTGCTAGTCTCCGCCCGAAACACTTGCGTCCTGATGGACAGCAGCGGTACTCACGCGGTTTGCTTGTGCTGTTATCAACAGAGCGCGAAGCCGATTCTTGGATCTCTTGGCCTGCGGGATGTCACCCAAAATGATCAACTGAGTCACACGTGTGAAATGTTCACAGAAAATCCTGTATGGTGCGGGAGTGAGACAATTGCCCGCGTTTAGGATGGTGTGCGATCCTTTTTGACTGACGCAATCAATGCGCAAGCAGACAGCGTTTTGGAGTCGGTCAATTCAATCAGATGCAGCCTGTGGGCGGGCACCGACCGCTGCATTCTAACTGAACTTGTCCCGCCGACGAATGAGTTTGGGCCAAATTGTCAGAAGCCACGTTTGCAGCGACCAGACATCACTTAACGGCCCAGCACCTGGGTAAAGGTTTCGATGACCTTTATAACAAATGCCCGAGAACGAATCTTTGATCACTTTAAACTTTTCAGATCACTGCACTTTCGTCGTCCAAGACGATGTTCAGCAATTCCAGCTGGGTGCGCCGCAATGAACGCTGCATCCCTTTCGAAGCTTATTGACCAGATCCCGGGCAGATCGCGCATGAAAGTTATTGCGCGCTGTCGGTTGCGATGAAACAACACTATTACAGTCCATAATTTCTACACTACCTTCTATCGGAAGTCAAAACTCTTGATTGAACTATGGAAAAAGTGTATTACTTTTCGGATGAAATCTTCTGGGCTGTGCAGGAACAGGTTCAATTCTTTGAACATTTACTGTCATGGGGAGGACTGGCGTGAAGTGCGAGTGACATTATGCGCCATATCCAATGCGAAGAACTCTTGCGACGGGGTTGAGAGATATTGAAAAGGGTTGATGCTGGTGCCAGCGTGTCGCACCTCCGTTCTGATCATATGCGCTCTGCTGGGAAGGTAGGTCAGTTCTTGCAGGGCAAAGGTAATGTACAGACAGTATGTTTTTTCGTATCAAAAGAAGTCTTTCGGGCAGAGGGTGAGCTTAGTATCAGATTGACTGGGCAATACTGTCTAAGAGACACTAGAAGCGCAAGTAGTAACCCCAGCGAGTGCTCAGACTGTCATTTTCCGCGCGTAAGTGTCAGGCGTAGGGAGAGAAATAGAGGCCGCCTGAATTCAAGAACTCTGATAAGTGTTAGTGAAAAAGCAATGAAAATGATCTGATGCGTGGACGATCATCATTCACAATGGCATGCTCTGATTTGATCGCGTTGTCCTCGACTACGAAGGTGAATCGGGTCTCAGTAACATTCTTTGCATGTTTTGCAGCACAGGGAACTTGAAGATGAGACATACCTTGTAAGAAAATCTGCGTGTATGCTGGTGCCGCGGCTGAGTTGCTGAGGTAGTGGTCCCGGTACCACAGAGTACCACCGAGTACCACTCAGTACCACCCAATACCACCCAGTACCACGTAGTGTCTCCCAGCACCACAGTGTGTTCTCCACTGACGTCTGGCTGCCTATGTTTCCCAGCTGCGCAGCGTGCTGGCTAAGGCGTCGGTGTCGAGGAGATCGTCGGTAGACAGCTCCTCCAGCTCGTCAATCTCCTCGAGATCCAAGTCAAGGTCGCGGTCCAGGTCGACCATCTCGTCGCGGTCTCTCAGCATCTCGAAGTCAAAGTCGAAATCAAAATCGAGGTCAAGGTCAAGGTCCAAGTCCAAATCGCGGTCCAGGTCGCGATTGACGTCGAGGTCAAGATCCTTGTCGCGTCCGCGCTCCAGGTCCTACTCCGACTCAAGGTCGAGGTCAAGGTCCCGGTCGCCGAATAGCCAGCGTCGGTTCGTGGGTAAGTGTACTGTGGAGAACAAAAAGGGCACTTCGGACTGCCGGAACCCGATGATATCCATAATTGGCTGGCACATTGGCTGGTACAGTTGCTTGCCCATTGAAGTAAACCAAGCCAGGTTGTTGTTTGTTGTTCTTTCATTGTATGTGGTGGGGTCTCAAAGCACCTATGTGTTCAACAGCCGGTTAATCGTGCTGGATTTCGAGATTGTGTGATTTGCGTAACATATTCATTGCTCCCTTTGAATGCGGAGCAGACGTTCGTAGGTTGTACAGCCCAACCTGCGCCCCACGTGAAATATGTAATCACATCGTCTGCCGACGCCGTTGCCGTGGAAGTTATCCTGATCCCGAACTTTTCGAATGAAGGTTTCTCGACTTAATGTTACAATTGTGTATGTGCAGCCGGCCGTGAAGTGGTTCCGTGTCAGCGCTGACCGGTGGCGCGTGACTGCCGTGGCCGGCGCCGCCGGCTGTGCCGACCGGCCTGACCGCCGTGTCCGCCCCCCCCCCCCCCCCTTCAGGCCGGATGCGGATGGACAACAGCCCGTCGCGCGACTACTGGTCGGACGAGGATGGCGGTCGCTCGCGCTCGTCCGACCCGCGCGTCTCGTTCCGGGGCCGCGGCCGCCCGTTCCGCGGCGCCGGGCCCGGCATGCGCGGCCGCGGCTTCGCGCCGCTGCTCTACGACGCCGACGGCAACGAGTGGCGCGGCCGCGGCCGCGGCCGGCGGCCCTGGATCCGCTCGCGGCCGCCCATGCGCCTCAGCATGCACGACGAGCGCTTCCACTACAAGCGCTCGCCAGCCCGCGACCAGGACCGCGACCGTGATCGTGACCGTGACCGTGACGGTGATCGTGACCGCGACGGTGATCGTGACCGTGACCGTGACCGTGACCGTGACGGTGATCGTGACCATGACCGTGACCGTGATCGTGACAAGGACCGGGAGCGGAAAAGTTCGTCGGGCTCGTCGGGTGACGAGGCTGAGATCCGCGTGCGCGAGGACACGAGTGATTCGGGCGGCGAGCGGCCGCGCGCTGAGCCGCAGCGTCGCGTCTTCAGCCGCGTCTGGTCGCGCGACCACGGCTGGGTGGAGCGCGAGTGGGTGGACCGCGGCCGCGGCGCGCGCCCGTTCCTGCGCGGCCGCGGCCCGTTCCGGCCGTTCCGCGGCGGCCGGCGCGGCTGGGTGCCGCGCGGCTCGCGCTCCAGCTGGGATCGGGACGGCGAGCGACGCTCCGGCTCGCCGCCCGTCCGCCACGAGAGCTACTACGAGGCGTACGAGCGCTACTTCATGCGGCTGGCTGAGCGCGACCGTCGCGCCGGCTCCGGCGGCCGCTCCTCCCGCTCCCGCTCCCGTTCGCGCTCCCGCTCCCGGTCCCGCTCACGCTCACGGTCGCGGTCGTCGACGCCGTCGACGGGCGACAGCGACAGCTCGCGACGCGCGCGCGCACGCAGGCGGAAGGAGAAGCGCCGCTCCAGCTCGTCGAGCTCGAGCAGCACCAATTAGAGTGGTGCCGGCTCGCGGAGTGGACGGATGCGCGGCACCTCACCGCCACCCGGACGGCGATAGTCGTCCCATGCTGGCCAGTGTGGTCTCGTGCGCGTGTGCGTAAGTGCGGCGACAGGCACACAGGTTGGTGTAGTTCTCAGGCGACTGGCAGAGGCTTTCACTCTAAGGTCGGATCATTTGGCGCAGAGTGAGCTCGCGAGTTTCGCAGTTGACCGGCACTGTCGCTCGGAGCCGATCACTGACATCGGTCACGTGTCCGTGCAAACAGCAACGTTGGCATTCTAAGGACTCGTGCTAGGTTAAGCATTGGGCATGGATCATCAACATCGCGAAACTGAGCGGGAGCACGGCTTGCCCTGCGAGAGCGCCCTGTATGCGTCCTGCCAGCTGTACAAATGCCGTTTGGCCGGGCGAGTACGGCGTTTTTGTTTCATTGAAGAGGCGTGACAATGAAGCCGTTTCTGCTGGTCAGACCGCGTTTTCGTGTCAAGATGCGAGCGAGCTGTCTTGGGAAATGGGAAATGGCCCCGCCAGAGTGGCCTGAGGCTCTGTACGTAACAGTGAAGTGGTCATTCCAAGCTTATCGGAAGAACACGCACGGCATCAGTGAAACGGTCTGAGAATAGGCCCTCTACAAGCCCCTATACCTTCGCCCTCTGCGGGCCGGATGGGCCCTGTACAGGCCAGAATGTACCCTGTTCGGCTCAGAGTGGTCCCCCTACAGGCCAGAATGGGCCCTGTACCGTCAATTATGGCTCCTGCACAAGCCAGAATGGACACCACAGTTAATAATGGGCCCTGTACAAGCGAGAATGGGCCCCTGTACATGCCGGCATGGACCCGTCACAATCAGCAATAGGCCTTTCACGCGCCAGAATTAGCCCTCTGCAGGCCAGAATGGCCATCCAGTCAATAATTGGCCGTCTGCAGATCAGAGGTGGCCTTCACAGGCCGGAATGGGTCCTCAACAGTCAAAAATGGTCCTTTTGCAGGTCAGAATGGGCTCTAGGTGCTCTGACGTGCCCTCATTTGGTCGGGATTCAACCGAAATAAGTCAGCATAGGCTCTCGACAGCTCAGAATGGACTTTTAGGTGCTTACGCAATCCCTTCACAATTTAGAACCAGCCCGTAACATACCAGAACGGGCCCTCTTCAGACCCTTCAAATAGGGTTGCCGGGGAGGGGGGGGGCTGCCCTAGCTGCCCCCCCCCCCCCCTCCCCCGTGCCAGGGTTGCTTGGCTTCGCTTTAAATCATGGTGCGCCATTCCTATTTAAACGTTTTAAAAACTTGTGTGACAGGGGTACGGATGCTGTCGGGCCTAACCTGTTCATAAATTGCCCAGTCATTCTACTGTAAGGGGCCGCCCATTACGATTACGCTGAAAATTCGTTCCAACTGCTCCCTGGTCGCGCACTGGTTACGTTGGATAAAAAACTCTTCCCCAGGCCACACTGCGGTAAACGTGCCGTTCCTCACATGTTGCGTCCATTTCCCCCTAAGTGATCCAGAAGTGTGAAACAAAACGAGCGTGTTTTCTTACCACGAGAGGACGTCGCCGGTATCCGGTGTAAGTTTTTCAAATATCTTAAAGATTAGCGCGACTTGATAGTTTCCTACGCCGCTGCGACGTACCAGCGTCGTGACCGTGGCCCGGGCCAGGCTGCGTCAGGCCGGGTTAGCAGATTACGTAGGGTCGTATCAGCTGATTGCGCAGGGCCGAGTCAGCTGATCGCGCAGAGTCGGGCCGGCTGATTGCGCGTCTATGTTTGCCACGATTCCAAGCGTGTCCGAAGCTCAGCTGTCGTTACGGAAGACTTTTTGAGCTGGGGGGGGGGGGGGGGGGGGCGAAACGTGGGCTCCAGACGATGGCTTCAAACCCGTACAAAAGGCTACGCGACACGCCATCACTGTGACAAAAATCCAACAGAGTGTCTCGCCGCCCACGAAAGCGACAGAGACTAGACTCGCCGACTCCCGAACTAACGGAGCACGCTTACAGGCGCAGTGGCGCGCGCGCGCTCGGCGGCGACACCCGCTGCATCGCCACCGCCAACTCCCTGTTTCGACCTCAGCTCGGCGCTCGTCACACCGGCACGGTCAGCACAAAAACGGCCACTTGGGAATGGGATCTCACTAGTTGGTCAAATCGCAGCCCTTTTGCCAAGCAGGCGACCGGGGCAAACTGGATCTACCGGTGGGAGCTGGGCGGTTCGCCTGCACCTGGCAGGGAGCGGCGCTTCGTTTTTGTTGTATTTCCGTTCGGCAGCCCGGCAGACTTACGCACAGGTTCTGCCCCAGTCCCTTTCTGGAGTCCGCGACGCAGTGCAAAAACCATCGGAGGATGTGCGGTACGTGGCCAGGGCAGCGAGGAACGAACGTGACAGGCGCATACGCGCCCGACAAAGCCACTTGGTTGAGGCACCATGGCGTTCGCTGAAGATGCAAGAAGCACGTGCTTAAATGGTCAAGCTACAGAAGTATGGTAGAAGAATTGCTAAATTTGATCGAATCTTGGGTTTTCGTGGGTTTGGATCAAATCTTGGGTTTACCACAGCAAGTGCTGTGATTGGTGCTAACGCGACCCGAGGTAGCCGGCACGCGATGATGGGACATCCTCCGATGGCGAACGCGTCGGTCAGCAGCCATCCCTGCCACCACGCAGGACACCGCCAACACAGCCGTGTCCTGCGTGGGCAACATCGGGGGTTTGACGCTCTGCACATGCGGCCGCACCACCGGTCCGCTACGAACGCGGTCTGCGGCTGGGGGGCTTGGGGAGCTAAACGTCAAGCGGTATGCACATGTATTGATACATGAATTCGCACAGAAAGGGCATGATACTTCTCCCGATGGGAAGCCACGACGCCCGGGCTCGGATCACTCGCGCGCGCCCACGACTCGGTACCTGTGCAACCTTGTCATGACCAGAACGGTGTTGCTCTGCGGCAGCCGACACCAGCGAGCAACGCATAGCCGAGAGAAACAACATAATAAAAATCGCGAGCCCCGGCGAGCCTGCGCCGCGAACGGGGACAGCGCGCCTCGGCCCCGTACCACGGGCATCGAACAAATCACACGGTATAACAAACGTCCCTCGCCCGAGAAGACTTTAATGCATCAGCGGGAGCGCAAGCACGCCTCTTTCCAGACAACTCTCGCCAGTCGACTGACGACCGCCGTAGCCAACCACCCCAACATAGTGTTCCCCATCCATGCGCGCACGCTGCGCGCGAAGCGTACCCTCCAGCGAGTCGCCCACGACCGAACGCGTAAAACAACTGAGATCAGAACACATTTGTACCAGGCGAATGCATCAACAAAACCACCGCAAGCGAATCGAACAAGCCTGTTGTGAAATCAACCGATTAGATTGATCTTCGTCGATATCAAACGTGCATTCCTTCGCAGTTCTTCGAGCGGTGTCGCGCCTCCTCCGCCAGCGTGCGCAACTCACAGCACTTCCCAGCCCCACTGCCCTCCGCCCGCTCCGGTAATGCCCGAGTCCTGCCCACGCTGGGCTGCCATGCAGTTGGCTGCCCTCGCCGTCCCGGCGCCGGCGATGGTCGGTGGGAGGGGGGGGGGGGGGGGGCACGGACGCCGTCGGCTGGCAGCAGACCAGCCGACGGCAGACACGCCGTCGATCAGCGCCGCCGACGCGGCAGGGGCGCCTGATTGGGCAGGGCGGTGCCCCCAGGCCGTCCGAGCGTCGCGCCATCGTCCCACCCCGACGGGAGTGTGCGGCCGCGGCGGCGCCCGCCGCACCGCACCCGGAGACGGCACGGCACGGCCCCGCGGCGGCGCACACAACAGCGGAGAGTGCACGGGTGGGCCGTCAGGTGGATCCCGCTGTGGCCCGACAGGTGGCGATCGTCGGGCCCCACGTCACGCCCGTCGACCTTGGGAGTCACCTGCGCGACCCGATGCTCGGGCACGTCGTGGCATGCCGGGGAGGAACACGTGTGCCTCGATGGACTCGCAGCTGAATGTGTGGAGTGCGAGAATGCGGGTCATTTGACGGGCACATTACAACAGAAACCGGTTACGAGTACGATGATGACAAAGCAGCTACGCCGAAGCGAACCCAGCGACCAACCTCTCTTTCATTTGGCTCATGGACGATCCGCCCATAAGCAGCGAGCAGCGAGCGACGACATGCGCCAGTCGCAGCGGCTTCTGCACTGCGGTGCTTTTCATATACTCGCGACGTCGCGCCGTTCACAACACCGCCTACATGGCGGCGAGGCCATTGCCATGTCACATATCAACTTACAGACCGACTAAGCGCCGTCCGGCCCCAGGGCGGGGCCGGTCTTGCCGTAAGCTAACATGCCTGTGAAAATGGGACTGGTCTTGCCATGCATCACTTACAAACATCTTAAGTGCGGTGGTCTTGGGGCTCGTGCCACACATCCACGGAGACCTTGAATGCCGACCTTTTGCCGACGCGAACGTCGAGTCTTGCGCTGGCAGCATCGCGAGCCCGCCCAAGGCCAAGTTACATGCCGGTGGGTTTGGGCCGAGTTGTGTCATACGCTCTAATTATAGCAGCCTGGGCCACGGCCCCACCCTCTTCCTGAGAGAACGCATATCCATCTGCAAGAACACGAACGGTAGTTACGAGAACATGTTCACAACTGGCCGCGCATGCACGACAGGTAAGCCGGCGTGCCTGACCTCAGCCACCATCCATCGGAACGCAGTTCTGGTTCACTGGATGACGCAAACAACGCGACGCATTCTGGCTGACTGACACCTGATAACCGACATGTAACGCCAGCAACGAACACGAACCACACTACCAGTGTAAGCAAGACACGGCCCGTGTGGGCGTGTTACTCAGCGCGACACCAGTGGTGACGCCGCCAGACTACAGCCATCACAATCAGCTGGCACACACCGCTCGAGGACACACTCTCTCCGGCCCACGTGGGGGACCCACCCCTCCAACAAGCAGCGACAGAGAACCCCCTGGACGACAGAGAACCTCCTGATCCCCGAAGCTCGTAGGCACTCATGGGAGACCAATGCCCTGTGCCCAACCGAGAGCAACCTTCCCTCAGTGCTCACGAAAGACCCTGGTGCTTACGGGGAGTCCCCCTTCCCCCGGCACCCAAAACAGAGCTCCACTTTCCAGTACTCACGAACAACTGGTCCCCTCGGTACCCATCGAAGGGGGGGGGGAGGGGAGCTGGCCCGCCCCAGTACTCACGGGAGAGCTCTACCTCCAGGTCGACGCGGGTGGTGGTGCGTCGGAACACGTTCTTGACGTTGCGCAGCAGCCGCGCCGTCTCCGTCAGCCTGCAACGGCCGCGCCACGGTCAGCAAGGTTCGCGCGTCGGGCCGAGCTTCACGCGGCACGCGACGCGGAGGGCACGCATGCGACGGCCCGGCACGGAGGGCACGCATGCGACGGCTCGTGCGGCACGCAAGTGCGATGAGAGGTGGCGAGAAAGCGAGGCCTCCTGGACGGCCTCCATCCAGCACCCCCGCGCCAAGCGCAGGCCGCGTAGCGTCCTTGGGCACCGAGGGAGAGAAAGAGAGATCGCAGGAAAGCAGAAGCCACACAAGGCCGTCGGCGCCACCGCCCGGGCGGACCAGTAGCCGAGAGACGGACGTCGCCAGTGCGGCGGCAGCGGCGGCGGCAGCGGCAGCGGCAGCGGCAGCGGCAGCGGCAGCAGCAGCAGCAGCACCACCACCACCACCCCGGATAGGACAGCCACCACCAGCGGCGGCCGCCCGTGCGGCCGCGGAGCCCGGCGGCCGGGCGCGGGCCGCTGCTTACGGGGTCTGCTGCTCTGGCAGCAGAGGCCGGCGCTCGTCCGACGCGAGGCCGGCGTCGAAGGCGCCATCTCCGGAGCGGCACGACCCGGGGTCGGCGGGGAGGGGCGCGGCTGGGGACGCGGCGGGCGGCGGCGCGTCACACGACCGCCACCCGCCAGAGCGCGCGTCCCGGCCATGGCCGCCGGTCGCGCCACCAGGCTTTAAGCTGGCAGCCCGCACGTCACGGCGTTAGCTAGGGTTAAGATGCCTCGACCAGCGCAGGCAGCGTATCGTCGGCGAGGAACAATTACCAGCGGCATGCTGAGACCATAGGCAGGAGATCGGGTTGCAATGTTATTGAATAGCGTAACAGAATGCGTTTAACAACGTTAAGGAGGTGAGCAAGTATCTGGACGCATTAAATGTTGTGCCCGCGCATGGCACAACAGGAAGACAGCGCAAATCAATGTACCAAAAAACTACGACATAACACAGCCATTATGCGTACAATATGGCAGCACCAACACCGAAACGCCAATAAGTCGATTGATATCACTCTCCATAACAACGAAACGTTACCCGACAACTTAACGGATATTAAAACGTACTTTGCAAACTAAACCGAGAAACGTTCAGTCTACATGTGCAAGTGACAGGGCCAAAAGTGAAATTAGCAGGGCGAAAAAACGATCGGCTACAAACCAAAGTCGCGAACAGAGAGGTAGCTGCCTGGGATGCTCCCAAACATGGCGTCTTCAAACCGAATGGGCTCTAGACTGAAAAACAAAACCCACACATTCAGCCACGCATCGACAATAGCAGCGAAGGTTTTGAGGAAAAAAGACTTCATGTAAGCCAAGCACTCGATAACACACACTGAACAATGTGCATGAAAGACATTAACACAGTAAGCAGACAACACCAGAGATTTGCTGCAGTCGCAGGGGGAGCACACGGAGGGGAGCGGGAGGACAGCGCCTGGAGGCGCTACTGAGCGGCGAGGGGTGCGACGCGCGCGCCGTACTTTTGCTTGCCGTCTCCGGCCAGCAGAACGGCCGGGTCCTTGGAGTTGATCTCGCTCTCCCGCACTTTGTCCGTCAGCGACGTGCTCACGGTGTTGACGACGCTGTCGAAACGGAGGCGGCCAGTCAGCGGACGGGGAGGGGGAAGGGGCGCCCCGAAGGCACGGCAGAACACCGGCCGTGCCCCCGCAGGTAGGCGCCGTCTCATGAAGCGGGCGGCACTGCTCACACACAACCAGCAGCCGGCTTCACCGAGCACCGAGCGTGATGCCTTGTGCGTGATGCAGCTTTCACCCTAACACCTTATTTCAACGTCATCCGCAACGCTATGCAGTTTTTCTACACGTCCGTGTCAAGCTGCAAGATAATGTCGCATGAAATTAGCTGGTGGATGGAATATGTATGCCAAAGTCAAGGTCATCCTTCACGCGCCGCTATCAGCCTTGGACCGCAGCACACTTCATTGGGACCCCTGTCCGGAAACTGGACTATTATGAGGCTGTTTGTGTCTGTTACCTCTGATGTACTGGCTGTTCCACGTACCCTCTAACTGCCTAGCCATCTACCCATTCTCCTCTACTTTCCACTACGTCTCATACCAACTAGCTACCAACAGAGATGGACTAACAACGAATTATGCTGTTGCTGTAAACACTGCAGAAATGCTTCAAACGCTCTTGCAAGGACAAACGCTTCGCAGATACGCGCGAGATTAGCGCCAGTTGAACCGCACCGGCCCATGCTGAGACCGGTTTGCGCGTGACGGATACGTGCGAGATTAGCGCCGGTTGAACCGTACGGGCCCACGCTGAGACCGATTTGTGCGTGACAGATACGCGCGAGATTAGCGCCAGTTGAACCATACGGGCACACGCTGAGACCGATTCGCGCGTGACAGATACGCGCGAGATTAGGGCCCGTTGAACCGCACCGGCTCACGCTGAGACCGGTTTGCGCGCGATTTATCACTAAATTTGACGCCAGGAGGCAGCTGCCATGAGTTGGGGTGAGGTGTAAACTGGTGCGCTGGACCACTCAACTGTTGACGAAATCGAACCATACCTGCCGCGGAGCGACACGAAAGGACCAGGCAGAGTTGTAGATAATAAGACGGGTCCTGGGGTCTTAAACTAGCTGAACTCAACTAAGTAAAGAAAATATTGATAAACAGACAACTTTTTTAAAAGGCTGAGGGTGGGTAAAAATAAAGATAATTTGTGCCCAGTTCAAGATTAGGTGGTTACCTGCAAACTGTGGCTACCTCTGCCGGAAATGACAAGCGCCCATACCAACTGACACGACCAGCTTCAAACATTGGCGGCCTGTGAGGCGGCTCAGGTCGCGCGGGAGCTCCGTGCCGGCGGCGTCTGCGGCGGACCGCGGGCCGTGCTGGCGGTCCAGCGCGCGAGGCCGGCCGACAGCAGCGGCGTGCCCACCTCTTGAACAGCACGTCTGGCAGTATGGTGACGGTCGGCACCAGAAGCAGGCCAAACCAGAAGACGGGCGAGCTGAAGATCATGGTGTGCAGGCCGAGGATGTCGTCCGCCAACGGCAGCTGGGCGTACACGAAGAGAAAGACGAACCAGACGACGATCGAGCCCCAGATGGCCAGGTGGGTCAGGCACGTCCAGGCCTTCATCTCCAGACCAGCCTTCAGCGACACCGTCACCACCACGTACTGCCGGGGGCCGGACGGTCAGACGCCGTCACCACACAGCACCGCCGCGGGCCGGACAGGCCGACACCGCGGCACCACTGCGTCCGCGCGCGGTGGCCGCCGCCGGCAGCACGCACCCTCCCGGCACCCGACGATGATCGGGCGATGTCCAGCCCCGCCGTACCGGCCGAGCCCCGCAGGGTGGCGAACGCTCACGAGCGGGAATGGTCGACTGTGTGATGTTAATTGATCGCTGGGAGAAACTTTACCGCGAGAAAGCAGCAGAAGGGACGCCAGAGCTTGTCGGCTGATTAAGCGATGGCATGTTACAGTAATCAAGGTAGTGAAAATAAAGGTACCTGGAAAATAATATAAAAAATACTCCGTAACTTCCCAGAGCAGTGAAGGAAGCATCAATACGCATATACTGAGGGAATCCGCGGAACACGACTATAGTTAACACGGTTTATACAGCGAAAAGTACATTTCATCACACCACAGACATCGCCGGGGAACACCTCAGATTAGGAGATCGTCAGATAGAACATATGTTTACTGCTTTCTGCCACGCGACAGCGGCCAAGAGTACACACCGTGTAGACCATGTTGCCGAGCATGAGGTAGCCAGCATTCCTGCCGCTGGACCACGCCACGTCCTGCTCCATGGCGCCGAACGACAGCCAGAACAGCATCACCGAGTGTACCAACGCGTTGATGATCCACAGCCAGAAAACCTGCCAGGGTAAGGTCAAGTTAGGTCAGGTCAGGTCAAGTCAGGTCAGGCCAGGTCAGGCCAGCCAGAACAGCACCACCGAGTGTACCCACGCGTTGATGATCCACAGCCAGAAAACCTGCCAGAGTCGGGTCATCAGGCCAGGCCAGGTCAGGTCAGGTCAGGTCAGGTCAGGTCAGGTCAGAACAGTCAGCACAGCACAACCAAGTGCACCAACGCATTGATGATCCAAAGCCAGAAACCTGCCATGGTCAGGTCAGGTCACGTCAGGCCAGTCAGCACACGGTCACCGAGAGCGCCACCGCCCCAGCCACATTTATGAGGGTCAGGGGAGGTCAAATTCAGAACAAATGTCCGGGTCGTGCCAGGTCATGCCAGATCGGGCCGAGTCAGACCGCGCGAGTCCAGACAGACACTGGCGATGAGAACACTGAGGCCACATCGCTGAGAAAAGCAGCTGGGGCCGGCGGCGATGGCGGACGATCAAGCCGATGGCCAGAACCGCCGTACCGGCACTGGGCGGCATCACGTTGCTGACCGAATGTGGCCCGTTCACAGGATGCCTGCTGTTGTCATGAAGCGTGTGTTGTTGATATGTCGAGGGGGCGCGACAGCACTGAGGGCCAAATATCAGGACTGGACCTCGTCCCAAGATCTAGTGCATCTGACGGGGAAATCGGACCGAAGGAGACCGCAATTTACACAGGCGACCGTGCTGCTGTAAATGTTCGCCAGTACGGCTGTGCAGGGGCGGTGAGTCAACGTTTCTCCGGGGAGCAGTGAGCTACGATGAGCTAACTATCACGGTGAAGCTATCATGCTGTCCCAGTAGCAGAGCATCTATCCGGGGACACGCGGCAGCCAGGGCCCTGATCGTCCGAATAGATTCACAAATCTGCCTTCTAAGTGAGTCGGCAGGCTGTCCCGGGCGCAGTATCGCAGTATGAAAAAATCCGCCCAGAAGTACGTCATGACCAGACCATCCAATCATTTCAATGAATGGCAGCTGTGGGCTCAGTGAGTGCTGACCAACTTAACCCCGTCATCATCGCACGACCAAAATGAGGACTCTGGTCATTAAGACGGTATCTAGTTCCGTCTCTTGTTCACAAATTGCATTCGACAGTGCTGCTTTATGTCAGCTAGCCTTGACCACCCACTTAATAACACCCGCCACTTAGCAACTAGGTACACACGCGACGCCCAACGACGCCCGAGGTGCTGAATAGCCGACACCACTGCGATCCACCGTGACCCCGCCCGCAGTGGGCACCACGTGACCGCGGAGTACCGACCTGGACGCTGAAGAGCTGTCCCTGCTGTGAGGTTTTGTAGAGCTGGGGGTACTTCATACGCGTCTCGGCGCTGCACGAGCGGTCGATGAAGCCCATGATGAGCGGCGGCACGGAGGTGAAGAGCTGGCGGCGTCGGGGGCCCGAGCGTCACTGACACCGGTGTGGACACACAGAGCGACAGAACCTGCCAGCGGCGCCCGGCGCCCCACCCAGCCCAGCCACGGCTGCCCAGCGTCATGCGGCAAGCCTTTCACGACTGCTCCCGGGACGACGACGCCAAGTCCGTGGTGCTACCGAAGCGCAGCCGCCATTCCGACCTCGTCCTCAAACCCAACAACACCGGGGGTAATAAACGCCGGAACTGTGAGGCACGCCACACATCATTCAAAGCGTCTCTGTAGCTCTATGTGTCAAATTGGCTTTATGAAAGGAGAACACGATTCCGGGGACAACTGGGTGCACCTCATCCAAAAGCGTTCCGTCCGTCTCCCGGCAATGTTTCAGAGGAGACGCCCGCGGCGGGCACTCACCAGATTGTAGGCGGCGATGGTCCAGCGTTCGAATACCACCTGCCCGGACCAGCCGGAGTAGATGGCGTACCACAGCTCCACCACGTACAGGCAGATGTTCTTGTAGAAGCTGTACAGGATGACGTTCGTCAGCCGGCTGTAGTTCCAGGCGCCGTGCACGAGCAGCAGGCGGGCCAGGAAGCGGAACTGGCCGATGGCGTAGTCCGAGGCGTGCGCCGCCTGCAGGCCCTCCACGCCGGCGATGCCCACGCCCACGTGCGCCGCCTGGATCATGGCCACGTCGTTGGCGCCGTCGCCGATGGCCAGCGTGACGGCCTTGGTCTGCTGCGTCACCAGCTCGGTGATCTGCCGGCACCCGGACTTGGTCACCAGCGCCACGGCGACCATCGACACCACCGAGCAGCGGCGCGCAGGCCCAGCGGAAGGTGGACGCAACACCGCGGACAGACGTCACGTGATACCTCCTGGGTTCGGGACTGCGGACGCCACGGTGTCCAGTCAACTTAGCAATAAGCGTGTTCCGACACAACGTTCTCACCCAGGAGTGTTCGGCAGAAACAAACAGGACCGAATTCTGAACGCGGAGAACATTCTCTCTGCCGAGCAAGTGCAGTCAACTGAGGCCCATCTCAGGCCCTAACCAGACTGGTTAGGGTCCCATGGCCTGTGATCTGACCGCGCTGGTTAGGGTCTCGCGGCACACCCGGAGCCAGAGCATGACTGCCGGCCGCCGCCGCCGCCTGGCGCTGACCTCAGCCTTCTGGCCGGGACTGACGCGGCAGCAGATGACGCTGCGGCAGCCCAGGCAAAGCTCCATGAACTCGGCGCGCAGCTCGTGCGTCAGCGCGTACTGCAGCGTTCGGCCGTCGATGATGAGCGCCACCTGGCCGGCCTCCTCGCGGTGCTCCCGCATCTCGTTCAGCCGCTCCGTCACCACGGCGCGTGTCCGCTGCCGGCAGCGCCATCAGACGGTCAGCATCGCGGCCGGCCGGCAGGCGCGGCTGCCCCGCGTCCCGTCGGCGGCCGGGGGTCAGGTCCGGCCAGCCCAGCGGCACGGCCGCAATGTACACAGCGGCCGACGCGGCACAGCAAGACGTAGTTCGTTAAAGGGGCGTCTCATCGCATCTATCCGCTCACGAAACGAGCACCGTGCCATTGTAACTCAAACGCAAGTCAACAATCAGCAGCGTGCATTCGTCCGCACGCGGCGTATCTATCGCAGCACGCCAAAACCCAGATGATGACGTGGTTGACCCCGCGCCGCCGGTACCAAAGCGGCCGCCCCGGCCCCGCACGCCCCAGCCCGGGCCAGCCCCCGCGCTCACGTCCAGTCCGTCCTCGTTGAGAAGCAGCAGCGGCATCTTGGAGTGGAGCAGGCGGGACGAGTGGCCGATGTTGATGGCCGTCTCCTGCTTGTCGCCGGTCAGCACCCAGACGTGAATATCGGCCGCCAGCAGCGACTCGATGGTCTCGGGCACCTGGCGGCGCGGCAACACGTCCGGTCACGGCGCGGCGCGGCACCGGCTCCAGCGCACGCGCCGCGAGCGGCGAGCACACCAGCGTTACGCACCTCACGCGTTTACGCGCACCTTGGTGCCACAATTGCGTTGTCCCAACAGACTGGCCCACTAGATATCATGCACGGTGGTGACCTGACATGATGTGTGCGGATTGCCGGAATAGAAAATTACGTTTTGACTTGTACACGAGATGCATTTATATTATGTCTGTGCACATTTTTCTAGAGAGCAAGCCATGCAACTCGTCCAGTGACATGGCGGAATCGTCCTGCGTTAGTAACGTAATAAATCAACAAGCCAACGGGTTACCTGAGTATAGCCACACTGGGAAACTACCTGGCGCCAACTGAAACGTGATCTTCTATGGTCGTTAAAAAGCTTGTTCACAAACACCATCCGACGTCCATTTGACCAACAGTCGGCCACGCTCTGTGGACGCTCGCCTATTGTACCCAAACCCTCCGAATTTCATCAGGGTGTAATAGTGGAACACCGAGAAAATATGACCGTATCCGACGAGATCGCATGCCACACCCGCTGACCCCCCACTTGGAGCAAAGAACAGCCCGGCGTCCAAGAGGTTGCGCGTGTGACAGACTGGGGTTCGCGCGGCCCATGGTACGGTCCTCTGCACCGCATTCCGCACGCCAGCAGGGCCAGAACAATCACCCTGCTATCCGCAGCATCCGGGCCAAATAAACATAGCTGGCAAGTGTTTCGTGCCATCTGCGCCGCCGCCCCACACCCAGCCATTTGAGGACGTAAGTTTTGCCCAGTTTTAAGCATCGTCAATGTTACGCATAGCCCATGTGATGCTTGCGACAGAAAATATCCGATGACACACGGTCCTCCTGCTGCTCTTTTGACAACAGAATACCGCTCCGAACAGAGGCTTTGGTGACGGAACAGCGGACCACGGCGTCCTGAACCCCGGAGGTAACGGCAAGAGCCCTACCGTCACCCAGTGCCTCGCCCGAACCCGACCCCTGTCGCGCAGTGCCCCTCTCTGGCCCCAGGCTGTCGCGGTACCCCTCCCCCGATCCTGACCATCCCGCCCCCGGCTCCTGACCGTCGCGCAGTGCCCCACCACCAGCCCCCCACCGTCGCGCAGTGCCCCACCACCAGCCCCCCACCGTCGCGCAGTGCCCCACCACCAGCCCCTCACCGTCACGCAGTGCCCCTTCCCCGACTCTAGACAGTCGCGCAGAGCTCCGCCCCAGGCCCCAGCACCATAGCTGAGTTCCAGCCCCTGATCGTCGCGCACCTGGTCCTGCAGCTTGTCCTCGATGGCGGTGGCGCCGAGCAGCACCAGGTTGGTCTCGATCAGCCGGGCAGCGTCCTCGATCTTCTCCTCGCGGCACTGGATCGCCGTCGACGCCTTGTGGTAGGTCTCCATCCATTCCTGCGGGGGTCGACGGAGGCTCCAGTCCACACCCAGCGCGGCCAGTTCAAGTGTGGCCCGGCGGCCAGCGGAGACTCTAGTCGACACCCAGCGCGGCCAGTTCGGGTGCGGCCCGGCGGCCACCGGAGGCTCCAGTCCACACCCAGCGCGGCCAGTTCGAGTGCGGCCCGGCGGCCAGCGGAGACTCTAGTCGACACCCAGCGCGGCCACTTCGAGTGCGGCCCGGCGGCCACCGGAGGCTCCAGTCCACACCCAGCGCGGCCAGTTCGAGTGTGGCACGGCGGCCAGCGGAGACTCCAGTCCACACCCAGCGCGGCCAGTTCGGGTGCGGCCCGGCGGCCATCGGAGGCTCCAGTCCACACCCAGCGCGGCCAGTTCGAGCGTGGCACGATCGTGCGACACAGCTTCACACGAGTGAAGCAGTGCATGGGCACGCACAACTGCGGTGCATACTTTTGGTAGAAAATACCGCATCTTTTAAACGCGACGCCCGACGAAATTTGTACTTACACTTGCAGTGGCCAGGTAGCTGCTCGCCGATCGAAATCTCGGCCGTAGAGGGCCGTTGCCCGTAAGCCGTCAGAGCCCCAATATCCGTAAGCTTGCTTTCGGAATTAAACCCCTAGCCGGTTTCCGGCCTCTCGCTGGCGTGCTCCCTTCCGTCGGTTACCGACAGCTTTGTCGTGGTTGCAACACATCTTGACGGTGTTACGCGCGCCAGGGCTATCGCGCCCGAGTCCCAACTCAAAATATCGACATCTGACCACTGACCTGCAGCGTTGGAGACATGTTCTGTGTCTGGGCTGTGTCTGAGGTGCACCTGACTGTCCTGAAGTCTACAAGCTACAATATCCAAACAAAATCAAGCCGCCTCGTAATAAAATCTCGTCATTGCATCAGTGCAGCAGGGCTGGTGTAACTATGATACTGGAACAAAACAGACCAGTGTATAGCATTGGATGAGGTCACCTGACGCCCTGCAGCTCTTCTCCAGCCGTCAATCACGGTTACGTGGTCAGTGGTGGTCTTATCGCTGCTGTCGACAGCTACAACGGTACTGCCGTGTACAATGTCTGGGAAAGGCTTCTGCTATGGAGGACCACTCCACGCACCCGCGATGATCAGTCGAGTAAAAATACTAATAAGGCTCCAGCATTCGCGGCTAACCCGACAATATCCGGCGCACCAGACGTGCGCCGCGGCTCTTCAGTCACCCCACGCGCCGGCTCCCAGTGATGGGGCGCACCGGTCAGCGTCTGACCCCGGCACCGGCGGCGGCGGCAGCAGCGGAGCCGTCGCCACCGTACCGTGTACTCCTGATCGCCGTTGTCAGCCACGGCCAGGCAGCAGCGGAGCCGTCGCCACCGTACCGTGTACTCCTGGTCGCCGATGTCAGCCACGGCCAGGCAGAGCGTGCGCAGGCCCTCGCTGGCAAACTCGGCCAGGTGCGAGAGCGTCTCGTCCTTGTAGCGCGGGTCGCCCAGCCGCTCGTAGATGACCGTGTCGGCGCCCTTGCACATCAACTGGATACGCCCGTTGGGTTGGCGGATGATCACCTGGAGGGGAGGCCGGGCCGATCACCACCGGCGTGCCGTCGCCGCCGCCCAGTGACCAGCAAGCGCCGGCGGCAGTCAGCTGGATATTAACACGCAAGACTTGGCGCTCCAGCCTGACCAGCAACATGAGCTTGGAATTTTCGTGCTGATAATAAACGACTTTTAACATACCAGGAGACACTGTTTAACCGACGCCACAAGGCGAACAGACGACATGGTCAAAACTCTACGCTTTAAGCTGCGCTCGTGGTCATCAGCGTATGACCTCCGAACTCATGAGACACTCAGCTTGGTAGCGTGCGACAACCAATGCGTGGCTAACCAAAACACACGGTTGACAGGCTGACTTCCACACAAACATCGCGCGCCAACACAAAGGCATTAACACGAAGCCTATATACATATATATATATATATATATATATATATATATATATATATATATATATATACATGCTTGCATGGCGTGTGGGAAATGCGGGAAACGCAGCAGCGGAAAAATGTGCTCATCTAGCTCTAGGGAGCAAATTGGGTGGCCCGTTATGAGGTCAGACACCAATACAAAACGCGCCACAAAAACAGCACCTATCGTCATAATTTGGCGAAGCGATGCTGTGCGGTGGCGCCGGCGACCCCACCAGCCGAGCGTGACGCTCCGCCATAGCCCAGCGACACGCGAGGCGCCACTGTATGTCAGCCGTGCCCCGGCCCGACACGACAGCGGCTCGGTCCCGTCCCCACCGACCAGAGCTCTGGTCGCGGTCCGGCTCAGTCCCGTCCACAACAACCAGAACCCCGGCCACGGTCCGTCTCGGTCCCGTCCCCGCTGAACAGAGCTCTGGCCAAGGTCCGGCTCGGTCCCGTTCCTACCGACCAGAGCCCTGGTCGCGGTCCGGCTCGATCCCGTCGCCACCGACTAGAGCTCTGGCCACGGTCCGGCTCAGTCCCGTCCACAACAACCAGAACCCCGGCCATGGTCCGGCTCAGTCCCGTCCACAACAACCAGAACTCCGGCCACGGTCCGGCTCAGTCCCGTCCCCACTGGCCAGAGCTCTGGCCAAGGTCCGGCTCGGTCCCGTCCCCACCGGCATGAGCTCTGGCCACGTCCGGCTCGGGACCCACGGTCCGGCTCGGTCTCGTCCCCACCGGCATGAGCTCTGGTCACGTCCGGCTCGGTCCCGTCCGGTGAGCCGGGTAACACCCCCGCCCGCCGGCCGACGCAACTGCGCCTCGTGCCCGCAGGCTGTGACCTCCTGCCAGCGGCCCGCACCCTCCCCTGGGACGACTCTGCGTGCAAACGGGGCACGCGCCGCGCCCCATCCGTGCACCGGCTCGGAGGTGGCCGTCGACTGCCGCGGCCTCTCCAGGAGGCGCACGGCGCGAGCAGTCACGCCCCGGGGCGGGACGGGCCGTCCCAACGCCGACCCTCGATAGGCGACAACACCGAGGCCATGCCTTACCGACATGCGCTTCCTGGTGCTGGTGAACTCGAGGACGTTCAGCACCTCGATCTGCAGCAGCTGGCCGTGCACATCCACCGAGAGCGTCTGCGGCGTGCGCGTGGTGAAGGTGTAGCCCAGGCGGCTGGCGCCCTCCACCAGGGCGCGCTCGTCTGCCGCCAAACGCTGCCGTCAGCCGCGTCAGCCGAGCGTTGCCACAGCGCCAGGTGTCCGGCAAATCAGTCACAGCGGTTAGAACACGGCTGAGAGGGTCGACATGATGACCGATCGGACCCTCGGTCGAGGGGCGACACGAGCCGACCGCTGGCAGTCGGACGCGGCCCATGCCAGCGGCTGCGTCACGCGAGGGCGTGACGGCGCAGGTCGATGCGTGCTGCACCCGCGCCGCGTCGGCACCACTGTCGCACGGTCAGACAGCCCGCCGTCACGCGCTCGAGACCCAAGTCACGGTCGCACGCGGCAACCGCTCGGACACCGGGCGTCGCTGACGCCTGAGCGGTGGCGCCGCGGCGGCTCGGCCGGTGCGCGCGGACCGCGCACCGCCGCTGACCTGGACTGGCGGCGTGGTAGACGACCTTGCCGGAGGCGCGCTCCTGCTCCTCGGGGATCACAGTGTGACACACCGCCACCATCAGCAGGAAGTCCTGGATAACGTCACCCGACTGCAGGCTGGGGTCGCGGTCCTGCCGGCAGCGAGGGGCGGCGCCGCAGGCCGGTCACGGTCGCTCAGCCTGCCTTCAGCCGCTCCAGAGTCATGACATTAGACAGCACTGCTGGGGACAAGCGAGGCCACATTATTTAGTTAGATCTAAACAAGTTGCGGAATGATTCTGACACGGCGGCAGTTGAAACTCAGACAATGGCTTCAGGAAAGGATGAGACCATTGGCGAAGTCGCTAGTTGATCACAAGTAGACGGTTATCAGCTGCCAGGTTTCGGGATCAGGAAAACAACACACGAATGCATGATACGGACCACTTGTGCTGACGAACATAACGCAAGGCGGTGCAGATGCTCCCTACTATGGCCTGCTTTGGCGCTAGCCCCAACCGGAAATAAAACCAGGACCACCCAGCGGCGTTGTTTCGATTTCCGGACGTGGACACCGTCCGGCGAACAAGGGCACCCCGCTGGCTGGGAAATGGCGTCCGAGGCAGCACAGGACATCGCTGTGTTCAGTGGGCTGCTGGCCCGCCGCTGGCCAGGAGCACGGCCCCGGCCGGCAGCACGGCGGCGCTAACCAGTCGGCGGAGGTCAGGACCACGCGCGGCCGCAGCTCGGGCCCAAACAGAGCCAGTTACCGCTCCGGCGGGGGCAGCGATGGCTCCGTTACCCACGGTCCCCAGCTACTGTCCATAACACGACCATGCTGTTCCTGTGGCCTTTGATCGGCAACCGAACACGACATCTTCAGACGAACCAAAACTGGTATTTCTGGCATTTTGGTCGGTGGCGCGCTAAACGTCACTCCGTGAGCCCCCAGTAGGAAGGACACTTTAAGGTTTGCAGGATGAACGGTGACAGGAAATTGTGGGCGAGAGCCGGAACAACAAAACTAAGCATGGGCTTACCGAAAGGGTTTCTACCCATATCGCAGCAGGGCAGGGATGGGTGCGCAATGAAGCAGGAGAACTGGGGGCCACTCGCAGTTGATCCTTAAATATGTCTGAAGACTCTCTCTCCCTGTCTCCCTGTCTCCCTGTCTCCCTGTCCTCCCTGTCTCCCTGTCTCCTCCTGTCTCCCTGTCTCTCTCTCTCTCTCTCTCTCTCTCTCTCTCCTCCTCTCTCCCTCTCCTCTCATCTCTTCTCTCGCCTCTCGTCTCCTTCTCTCAGCCTCCGTCTCCTCTCCCTCATCTCTCCTCGTCTGCCTCATCTCTCTCATCTCTCTCTCTCATCTCTCTCTTCTCTCTCTCTCTCTCTCTCATCTATCTCATCGTCCTTCTCTCTCTCATCTCTCTCTCTGCTCATCCTCTCTCTCTCTCGCTCTCTCTCTCGCTCTCTCTCTCGCTCTCTCTCGCCCTCTCTTTCGCACTCTCTCTCGCTCTCTCTCACACTCTCTTTCGCACTCTCTCTCGCTCTCTCTCTCGCTCTCTCTCGCACTCTCTTTCGCACTCTCTCTCGCTCGCTCGCTCGCTCGCTCGCTCTCTCTCTCGCTCTCGCTCGCTCCCGCCCTCGCTCTCTCACCTTCAACGCAGCATCCAGCTCCTCGGCCGAGCTGTACTTGGTGCCGGCGATGGTGCACTTTTTAAACTCCATCACGTTCTGGGTGAGCGTGCCCGTCTTGTCCGTGAGCACGTACTTGACCTGGCCCAGCTCCTCGTTCAGGTTGGAAGTGCGAGCCATGGCCGGCGTGTCCGTCGGCTCGTAGTACATCTCATGGTCCATATTTATGTAAAGGGCCTGTGCGGAAGGGCTCGAGTTTAACAGCGTCGCTTCTCAGGCTTTTTACGGGGTGACTGATTGTCTAATACTGCATCGTCTGATTGTCTGTCTAACTGATTGTCTAACTGATTGTCTCATAGATGCTCCACGCGACTACCGGCCATTGCAGGCACTGTATTAGGATGCGTTATTGGCGCTGGAGTTTTCATGATACGTGAGTGGAAACGGCCCATTCGGCCATAAGTGAAGACGCTATGACGTCAGCCGTTTTGGAGGCATTTTCAATTAAAACGCATTAACACATCAGTCAGCCGAACCCTAATGCATTGCACTGTCGCAAAAAGGCTTGACAAATTTGGACTATGACTCTGTGTGCGTCATGCTGTCGCTTTGCATAACGTTGTCACAATAACCTTCCAGGCGCCTTGATAGCGCTAACGGTTGTTAAGACGTAACACGTGTATAACGACAACGGCGCATGAAACAGATACACTGTGCTCGCCTTGTGGAGCATGCACAGCTCACAACAATCATGTAGCAGACTGCGATCACCGACCTCAGACGGCAACAGGGTGCGTGCCAAAGGCTAAACTGAGAGCAATAACGGCCCAGCCTGGACTCCCACCAATCCAAATAAGTGCTACGCCCGCTACAGCAACATGCTACTTGGTGAACCTACGAACTAATCGGGATGGCAGAGAATCCGCGAGGTCGGGAAGACCACATATTCGACCGCCTCTTTGAAGCCGGTCTTGAACAGAACAGCGATCATGGCCGAGCAGGGCAGAAAGAGCGAGTACGGCAGCACGAGTTCGCAAGCAAGGAGGATAACAAGTATAACAAGACGATGATGGGTTACACTGGGTGCGGGCGAAAATCCCACAACGTGGTGCAGCACCTGCATACTCAGCAGCTTTAAGCACATAGGCAATACTCCAGCCGCAAGATGATCAGGGAGGTCAAAAATATTTTGCAACATTTTGCCGATGGCGGCATCAGTGCACTTTGCATACTTTGCCAAAGGAATTAGTCCAAGCTATGGTACAACCGTATCCCAGCCTGTTATCCCAATAGCTCCGCGGATTCTCCATCATACCTTCTTGTCGATAGCAACGGCCGCCTCCCGATGGCGACCAAGACCGCCACAAGCCAATGGCCGCTTATTAGTTCACTGTGTGTTTGAACAGTCTACCCGGCCACCAGTGAGACAATGAAGGACTAGTGCAGAGCGCGGCACATCACCAGACGTGTGGGATTCATGCAAGCACAACACCATGTGGAAAATGGCCGTCGACGAAGGCAAGGCATCCAAAGGATCAAAGAAGCTAGGTTGTCAAGTGCATTTCCGAGGAATATTATGCACACAAATAAGACAATACCAAAAGCCTTATTCCTCCTAGAACAACCAGGTGAATGGAGAGATGGATGGATTGATATTTCAGCTGCAGGCCTTTATCAAAACGAATGCCAGTGGCAAATCCAAAATTGCCTACAAATCCAAGCACCGACCCACAGCTTTTACAGGTCACCAACATTCAGAGGATTAAACGAGGAGCAGTTGTCAGCGATTAATAAGACACAGTGCATATCTAAGAATTAAATACGTTAAAAATACGTTTACGCGCAAACAAATTCCAGTTAACAGGTAAACGCATCGCGCATCAGTCATACATACAAGCGATTTCAACTAAACAGGCATCACGCATCACTTATACTTGCAAACGATTTCAATTATCAGGCAGCGCGCATTACGCGCCAGGCATCACCCATGCATGTAGGCGATCTTACGCTAGCACGCATCACACATCAAGGCACTAATCACGTTCGCATAATCGGCCTTGATGAGCTCTGTGCATTATGGTCTGGTCTCCGACGTCTTATAACAGGTTCAGTTGTTTTCCTGGCTGGATGGTCTTGTGCTCTGTAGATGATTCTGAGCTCGAAAATGAATAGAGGCCGTACTTTTCTGGATTTCAGCCCGAGCGTGTCTTATTAAAAAGTGATCGGCGAGAGGGGTATTATTCCGTCTTCCGAACTGGGGGCGTGGACTCCCCATCGCAGACTATGTCCCTCCCATGACTTTCATACAGTTTACACTCAATTTCGCAAACCAGGTTTTTTTTCGTGCAAACCTCTTGAGACTCACACTTGCATAAATGACATCTACTGCCCCCCCCCCCCCGCCCCCGCCCCCGCCCCCGGGGCACTTCAGCTTCAAGATAGAACATTTCACCAGACTGTTTTTAGCTTATTGTTCTTCCAAGCTATTCGCACGAGCAGGTTTGATTTTCAACGATGTGTTTGAATTTCCAAGGTAGCGTCAAGGATCCGTCGTCCGAAAGGGCATGTTACCGTTTCCTACCACCCATCCCCCCCCCCCCACACGTGCTCTAATTATTATTTTACTTCTTTCAACATCCTACCTAGAAGTAGAGAATATGCACTGCCCAACAGCAGTCTATACGTTGTTTATGCTCTTTCTTTCTTGTTCATTAGTTAAATTATTCATGACCCTATGGAAAATGTTACGAATCACATTGTCCTTAGTGAAAGTTGCACACACAGATTCACAGCGCGGAATCATGCCGGGATCGGAGGGCTCGATAAAGAGTTCCGTTTCCAACGTTGCGTGGTTCTTTTGCTTCTTACAATATTATTCTTCCTAAATCGGGCGTAGTAATGGGGAGCCCACGCTCTCGGCCTTCAACGATAACATTTTAAGACCAATTTGAAGCGAAAATCCTGGCCGCCAGCCCATTAAACCCAACTTTCTTAGCCAGATACATCGATGATTATGCCGCAGTGTGGACGCACAGACACCGTGTCTTTCAATAATTTTTAGGGTTCATGAATAATCAGCACCCCAATTTAGCCTTCGTGATGGGGCATACAGGAGAAGTGGGGATCCAATACCGGGATACACCAGTGACAGCAGAAAGAACGAACAGCCGCACAACGTTAGAAACGGAGCTCCTTGTTAAGCCCACCAACTCTGGTATAATTCTGCACCGCAAATCTGCGCATCTAACTTCCACTAGGCACACTACATGTAATCGTAGCATGCTCCATAGGGTTCTAAACAAATGATCGAGTAGTGAAAAAGGAGGAGCATAAACAAATTATAAACTTTGCTGTTGGACAATGGATATCTTCGGTGACTTGAAAATGTTGGAAGAGCTAAAGCCATTAAACAGTTTATCTATTTTATATCAATAAAAACAACATCTGTATTTCATTGAGACTATAATAAGATACAGAACCATAAAAATTAGAGCACGTGGGGAAAGGCCGGCAGGAAACGGAAACATGCCCTGTCGGACGACGAATTCTTAGCACTACCTCACACAGATGAGCACTTGCTTTGAAAAATGAAACATATCGTTAGAACATCAAAACTGCACGTGCGCATAGCTTGGAAGAGCAATAAGCTAAAAAATCATCTGATGAAATCTTCTACCTTGAAGCTTAAGTGCCGGGGGGAAGGGGGGGGGGGCAATATATGTCATTTATGCAAGTCTGGGTTTCAAGGGGTTTGCACGTGAAAACGTGGTCCAAGAGAAGAAGGGTAAACTGTGTGGAAGTCATGGGAGGGACATAGTCTGCGTTGGGAGTCAACGCGGCCAATTCGTTTGGTATATAATGAACACATGCGCGGCGCCACAAACAAAAGAGAAAATCCCTCTCCGCGACCACTTTTGAACAAAACGCGCTCAGGCTGAAATCCAGGGAGGTGCGGACCTTTTTTCCTTTTAGAGTTCGAAGCCATATACAGAGCACAAGACCATCCAGCCAGGAAAACAACTAAATCTACTCTTATACCAAGTCGGAGGCCAGATATTAACGCACAGGGCTCATCATGACCGACTATGCGAACGTGATTAGTGCTTTAATGTGTGATACGTGATAGCTTAAGATCGCTTACATGCATGGGCGATGCCTGGCGCGTAATGCGCGCTGTCCGGTAATTAAAATCGTTTGCGTGCATAAGTGATGTGTGATGCGTGATGCCTGTTTACTCGAAATCGCTTGTATGTGTGACTGGTACGTGATGCGTGATGCCTGGCCTTTCCCAAATGTTGGTTACCTGTTAAAACTGTGGCTTTATGATTCAAAGAAGAAAAAAAACAGAAAATCGAGTAGGATCGGCAGGCAATTTTGAAATTGCCACTGATCTTCGTTTTTATAAAAGCATGCAGCCGAAAGATGAATCCATCTATATCTCCACGTCTCTGGTCATCTTACGACTAATACAAGTATTGCATAAGCTACTAGCATTGTCTCATCTAAGCTCAAAAAGCGAAGAGTTCCCACCAAATACCATGCAAAAATTCAAGCCTTTCCTCACAAACGGACGCCTTACCTGGATAAACCTAGCAATCTCAACGGTGACTTGCAACGATATCGGAATCAGGTTGTTGTACAGGATTATAAACGTCAGGAGGTTGTATCCGAAATTGACAGTCGACATCTCTGAAACAGCACGGCACACCTTGTCTTGATAAACAACGGTCATCCTCATATACCCATCCCATACGATTTTCCGAGACATGTTTTAAGTTGAATGTGCATATGTTATGCTTCAAGTACAGCTTGCTCCTTTACGTAAATCGTAAAGTGCATTTGCGAGGAGCATTACGCATATAAATGGGGCAGTACTAATACCCTTATTCTCTGTGGAATAACCATGAGAATGTACAGCTACATGGATTGATATTTCGGTGATATGTCTTTATCGAAACAAATATTAGTATCAGAAGAATAGAATATCACTCCTGATGTTCGTTTCCATAAAGGCATGTAGCAGAAACATCAATCCATCTACCTATAAATTCTCCTGGTTACTCTACGAGAAATAAGTCCATTACTACTGACTTATCTGTCCATTCCTTCTTGTGCAAGGTTGCCCAAGGTTTGGCAATGTAACAGCTTACTTGAAACAGCTTCCAACCAAAAGTACCCGTTGGGAGTAATCTGAGGATTTCAGAACGGTTTAAGACGTTGCCACCGTAACCCTCCGCGAAAACGGCCGATATGAAACTAAGACATGCATCGAGCCCGAGTCCCAACAAGCACGCAGGACTCGGCATTTGTTTGACGGTCCGGCACGGATCGGCCCGGCTCCCTGAACAACACAACGCAGCGCAGCCCGACACTATGCACCGACCTGCTGACGAGTCCCACGGATTACCATCTACAAGCTGGCCCAGCACTTCCGGAACACAGCTGTACCCAGCGATTCCAAAGCTCGCCCGACAATGTGGTCCTCATCACAATCCACACACATCCTGTGGATTACCAACACATGACCTGTCCACACATGACCAGCTCTGCAGCCCGGCCAGCTCCAGCGACTTCTTGCAGTTCGCACAATCTCGTGACTGTCGCTTCTGACCTATAATCCCCTGCATGCCTACCAATAGTGTACAGAATGTTGTGTGGGCGACAGCTGGTCGGTGGGCGGAGGGGAGCGGCCACTGACCGTCAAGGCCGAGGTACCAGTCGGTAGCCTGGTGTCGCACCGTCCAGAACTCGCTGGCCACCGCGCTTATAACGCACAGGACCACCAGCAGGCCGAACAGGAACAGGATCTGCGTGTTGGTGCGCTGGTCCACCGTCGAGCGCTTCAGCGGCGCCGGCGACGAGTTCTTCATCAACTTGGTCTCGTGGCCGGTGTAGACGACAGCGCCGAACACCCATGTGGTGTTCTTTAGCTTGGCGCCGCGCAGCAGCAGCTGGTTCGGGCCCAGCGCCACCTCTCTGCCGGATGAGACAAAACGACGGAGTCGATGACGCGCGTTTTTTGTGGGGGTGAAGGGGGGGGGGGACGCACGCAACCGCGAGCCCTCTCATGACATGAGTCAGACTACAGCGGTAATGCTAGCACCCAGGGGTCATGGCACAGCCTGGACTCTACGCCTAACCCTCCGCGTGGGGCCCACAGTCTCGACCGGTCGGCCACCAATGCTGGGGCGGTGGGCGTGACCCAAGTCCTGGTCTCGTCTCCGGGCGACAAAATAAACCACAAACTAGCAGTCGCCGCAATGATGATGATTCATGATTCAATCAATCATCTACAACGTGCCGCAAAAAACAATGATTTCTCACAACATGCTGCTAACGGTGGCGGCTAGACAAGGGTGACGTGCGAAGAGTAGGCGTGACAACGGATGATCCCCAGTAAGCCCGACACCACACCACACACAGCCGGTAGGGCTTCCCCAACAGGCGGCCGTTCCCGATCGCTGGCGCTCACGATTTGCCGGTCTCCTTCAGCGTGCCGACAAACTCGTATAGGACCCGGCTGGGCGGCTCGCAGTCGACGCGGGCGCTCAGCTGGTCCAGGTCGCGCGTGTCCAGCAGCCGCGCCGTCGCCGGCAGGCTCTGGCGGATCTTGAGGTTCGTCTCCCCGTCCAGGTTGGCCGTCTCGATGTAGCACAAGCCCTGCGGCTCACTGGGGACGCGCGTGCCGGGTCAACGCGGCAGGCCCGAGGGGAGAGCCTACACCCCTGACGGCCGGATGTGGGCGCGGCGCATACGACCGCTGAGCACACCACGCACGTCCCGACCGGACCGGAGGCTGGACACGCCACCTCCCCGACGCCAGTGGTGTAGCCCACACTCCGAGCATTTGACCCATTACGGATTGAACGTCTACCTTCCAATCCCGAAAAACACGTGTAAATTACACAGGATAGTCATGCCAGCTTTTAGAAGGAGGCAAACGTTTCCATAAAATTATTGCAGAACTAACAAAAACGATGGCGGCATTGATCAAGACATTTAAACACTGACGCATCGTCTCCGGTACCGGATCCCACTGTCTTTCACTTCCAACAGAGCCTTCTAGTTTCCCGACAGATCGTCGACAAGAGTGCATGTGCTGGACTGGAGCCACTCCCGACCGGTACGCCGCCGGTCCAGATGCACTAACCTGGAGGAGAGCAGCATCAGGTCGGCTGGAAAGTAGTGGTCGCTGCGGATTTTGCAGAAGTCGCCGACGCCCACCTCGGCCCAGCGCTTCCAGCGCCAGTTGTGTTCGTCCAGCACCTCCACCTGGCGGTTGTTGACCTCGTCGTCGGCGCGGTGCCGCTTCTGCGGAGGACGCGCGGGGTTAGTGCAACTCAAACCGCACATTTGGGGCTGCCAATGCCTTCACGTGGCATCTGGCGGCGCTCTGCGTGCACTGTATCTCACCGTCCACACACCATCAGTCATCCGACGTGTCATGCTGGGCAGCGTACTCTTGGACAGGTGTCCCTGCCTCTACCGAAACAACCTGCAGACATCGCTTCGTTGGGTCACATTTGAACCCGGAACTTAATTGCTTGACGGTCTTGAAGGCAAATAGCTTCATGCTAGTGATAATATATTGCTACTGACTGAGTACTACATGATCAACATTAACTTATGATCAGTTTCATGCCTGGGCCACTATCTGTACAAGACGCCATCCCGTGGTGACGGCTGATGATCGGTGATGGTGCGACGGACACGTTCTATAAAGGTCTGTGGAAAGTTTCGGAAAAATGTAGCGTTTTGCAAAAAAGATGGATACTTTCATTGCTAAATTTTTCGGTGTCTCTAGACCTCTATAATCTGCTTGCTTCTAGCTTTCCTGGTTCAGATGGTGTTAGATGTCATCGCCCGCTAGCGTCCGCTGTTGGTCGGGATCTGTTTCAATCTCATGAGCTCCGCGTGCAAAACATGCCAGCACAGCGTCGGAACGCTCCTCGCTTCTGATTTGGCTCCGGTCACCACACCTCTGGTGCCCACCTGAACATTCGCAATCGCTATTTAACGGGGATGTCCCGCGTTTGAAGATATTGAAGCGAGCACCAGTTATCACGAAATAAGCTCACTTCTAACTATTGACATAATGTTATGTGAAAAAGACCACTCTAGAGAGCATAATTTTTCTGTTTAGTAGATATGCTCCTCAATACGTCATTGTTTGACTGCGTCGCCGTACCTTGCACGACACTGATTGAGAGCTAATCGACGGCCATTATATCTGGAAATCGTGCTCACAAACGACAGTTATGAACGACTTGACAACTGTATTTTTCTTGGCCTTGATCGCCACGTGGCCAATGGAATGACAGGATTTGAATGACGTTATTATGGCGTCATGGATGCCTGGGTGACCTTGAAATTCTGCACGAGTCTTCACACCTGCGCAGGCGCGAAGCTTAGAAACTAGAACGGTGTAGGTCTTACGAAGGACAGAGCTGTTAACTATACCGAATGATCTTCATGATGTTCATTTCAGTTAAAAAGACATGAAAATGTTTTAATGCTCCCTTCAATCATATGCCGACATCAGTGGCGTTGCAATACACTGAGGTGTGAAAACAGGTGACTTCGGTGCCTAGAAGAACATGAAAATGAAAGTTTGTTATCTAAGCTCACATGATAACTTAATTTGAGAACCGGTTTTCTTTCAGTCTTGATTTCGAAGTAATGGAGTGGCCCGGGTCGCATATGCCAACATACCAGCTATAACGTCGGAAAGTCTGCTATTGTTTCCACGAAAATGCTGGGTGACCCACAGATTAACCCAAAACAATACTCTCAACAGGGGGCATGTAACGACTTACACATGGTGGCCCGAAGTTTGAGCCAATTGTCAGAGATGAGCTCAGCCTTTCTAACAGTCTGTTTCTTTTATGCAATGACGCATTAGCACAAGTTTCGATGATCTTCCACCTAAAATACCAAGACAGCTTTCGGTTGCAGGCATGCTCTTCGTCAATATGTTGTCCTTCCATCTCCTCTAGTTTCAATTTCATTACTTTCCACAGCCTGATTGCACGTTGGAAGGTAGATCACACGGTTTTACGACAAAGTAGGGGTGAGACATCTTGACCTTGATGGGAAAGAATGCGCTTTCTATGGCGAAGGTCGCGACCGAAAACGGAGTGCCTCACACGATCAATCTTCACGCAAGCGCACCTCAACGTGGATACACCGACGCCATCCGACACGACAGCCAGCAGTGGAAGCAAAAAATATCCTGACACGACAGTAAGCAGTGGATGCAACAAACCTCCGGACACGACAGTAAGCAGTGGAAGCAACAAACCTCCTGATACGACAGTAAGCAGTGGAAGCAACAGATCACTCATGGGACGAGTCAGGATAACAAAGCCAAGGTTGTTGAAGTACTCGTACTTATAGACCTATATTAAATGTATTCAACCGAATTTATATATATTTTTAGCATTATTCTTAATGACTTACTCTTCATTACAAGTAACAACTATTCACCCCCAATCATATGCGAACTGCTCCCCGCACCCTTCTTCGCCATCTCTCTCGCTGTTGGTGAGCAAGATCCTCTTGCTTCTAATAAAAACGCGGATCACCGTTAATCGTCAAAAATCACCTCCCCTCTGCCTGCACTTTATTCCCATTGCCACCATTCATGCCGAGCCTACGGCCAGATGCTGAGCTGATGGCCGCCGACCTCGCAGATCAACCCATGACGCTTCACGGAAGAATGAAAACTACCCGACACGCTATGCTTAGAATAGCGTTATCGGGTTGCAAAGAGACAGCACCCCGGGTTGGCACTGGCGTTATAGTAATGAGTCACTGTTTCCGGATATACTCATCTTTTACGCTAGCTTCGCGTGTTTGGACCTCGGTCACCATTCTATGCATGAGCTATTAACATAGAAAACTTGAACCGTCACCGCCAGCTCGTCTCTGAAGCGGATTCAAAACACATGGTTATTACATTCGGTTGCAGTGCATCCGGCTGCACCAGGTGCGGCTTTAGAAGCGTGACTATTCGGCAAAGCGTTGGGAAGCGGCGCGCCTGGCGGCCGGTGACACAGAGCAGGCGTCTGACCTACTGATACGACCACGCCGTGCGACGCGCGGTGGTCGGGGCCGCCGTGTGTCGCACGGCGAGGCGCAGCACGATAAATAACCAGGGCGCGGTCGGACCGCCCGGCCTTGGCGGCGGCTGACACATCACGGGCGGGGCCGGCTGGCCGCCGTCGCTGCCGGCGGCTCGGCGCCGGTCCGCCCCATCGCCGCCGGCAGCCGGCCCCGGCCGTGACCGCCGGTGACAACGCGCCGGCAGGTTTTGATGGTCGCCGGGCGTCAGGCGAGCACCGATTCGCGGGGGGCGAGCGGCACTGATGGGATTGGTCGGCAGCAGCGCACCTGCCCCGGCTGTCGGCCACCGGCCCCTGGCCGTGAACCGGTTGCCCGCTGTCGGCCCCTGACAACGGGCCGGCTGTCCGCCATCGGCCCCTGACCGTGAACCGGCTGCCCGTCGTCGGCCCCTGACCGTAGACTGGCTGTCCATCGTCGACCCCTGACCGTGGACCGGCTGCCCGTCGTCGGTCCCCGAACACGGACTGGCTGCCCGCCGTCGGCCCCTGACCGTAGACCGGCTGCTCGCCGTCGGCCCCTGACCGTGGACCGGCTGTCCGCCGCCAGCCCCTGACCGTGGACCGGCTGCCCGCCGTCGGCCCCTGACTGTAGACCGGCTGTCCGCCGTCAGCCCCTGACCGTGAACCGGCTGTCCGCCGTCGGTCCCTGACCGTGGACTGGCTGCCCGCCGTCGGTCCCTGACCGTGGACCGGCTGTCCGCCGTCGGCAATTGACCGCACACGGAGCTCCGGTTACATCGCCAGTAGGTGGTGCCTGACGAAAAGTTCCGTAGTTTAACTCTATGCCGGCCGGCCTCCGGGAAATCCTACTCCGGCATAGTGGGTGTGGATCCCGCGGTCTGTCAGATCCCGCGGTCAGTGAGATCTCGGGGAACTGCCCGGCCCATTTTGAACACCCCAAGAGCATTTGATCTCTCTCGACGAAGTGCAGATAAAATTTAAAACCTCAAAAACTTCTAGTCGGGGGGAAGGACAGCAGAGGCCAAAGAAACCAAAGAAAATATAGGGTATTTTGATCAGTTGCTTGTTGATCAGATGATCGGGTGGTTGTCACATTTACCAAACCTTTTCGACGCGACCAACGCGAATCGATAATGATTTCGAAATTGATCGAAAATGACAACATTTCAATATTTAAGATTCAGGAACGTATCCCGAGGACGCAAAACGGAATCCCACAAAATTGTTAAAACAGGTTGATAATTGAGCGCATGCGGAGCAAAAGGGATAGCCCTTTGCCCTGCCATCAGAAGGGCAGGGCTAGTCCCATGTAGGAAGTGGGCGTCCGCAGAGCTAAGGTGCCTAGTGGGGCGTCAGCAGGCCTCAGGTGCCTGTTCAGGCGGTGAAAACAGGCGGCTAAGTGACTAATAGAAATTGATGTTGGTCACAGTGCTGCTATTGCGGTAAATGAAGTATACTACCCATGCCACATGTGTGGCACATGGATGGGGGTCTGTCAACGAGGGACCGCCCCCTCATGTCTGCACATAAACACATGCTTGGTCGCTTGTTGGTCACTGGTTTGTTGCTGTCATTTGTTGGATGGGTCCGAAATGCGGTGGTTTGGCAACACGTCCAAAATACTTGCTACCCATGCCCCTCAAATGCATATACAAATGAATAATTATGACGTAGCTTTGGCGCGCACGTACACCAACACCGTGGTGCAGGTGCCACGCTCAGCGCCAACCGGCTGTACGGGCTGACCGAGTCAGCACAGCGGGGAACAAGGCAGCAGGCCAATGGGTAAAGGTGGATGAAGCACATCTAGCGATGCACCACTCCTCTACGGCACATTCGCACACGCAGCTCTGCTCGTTAATACGAGCAAGACGGCAGGGAACTGATTTCCCTGACGACCGTCTGAGCTGACATGACATAACCCAGCCAAACGACCGCTGTCACGGACAGGCCGACGTTCCACCGGAAATAAGGGCAGCTTCGGGGTCGTGCCGACCGCGGCACACGCCCAATATTGCTACGCTGTGCGATCTCGCCCGTGGATGAGCGACGAAGCCCGTGTCTCAGTCCGAACGGCCGCTCGCCGACCACACACTGGCTCTGCCTGTCAGGTCGGCTCTGAGGCACCGCAGACGAGCGGGGCCGGCTGTTCCGGCGACGCGTCCTGTTCCAGCGTCATGCTGCCCTTCGCTCTCTGGCTCCGCTCCCCCCCCCCCCCCCCCCTCCCTCCCCCCGGTCAGCCATTGCGCAGCGGAGCGCCGCCGTTACCAGCGCAACTTAAACAAACGGTGACCACTTCGAACGCAGCAGACTGCTCTCGTTGCATGCTCCGCTGGCACACAAACACTCATGTGTCGCGTGATGCCGGTGGCGTGAAGCAATGCACAAATGGAGTGTCCAACCGGCCCCGCTCCTAGGCCTCACGGCCGGCCTGCAGCGCTGTGTGCGGCCTCACTGCCGAAAGCGCGATGTATGTGTCCGGGAATACCCCCGCCGGTCCCGCGCCCATGCGCCACATCCAAGTGAGGTCATCGGGAAAATACCCCCGTCAATCTCCGACACCACAATCGCAGCCTTTGTCGCAAGCGCATGCACACGGCTCCATGGCATATGCGCCTGCACCGACCACCGACCGGCTCACCAGCCCGCCGCGCGCTCCACATGCGGACACCACCGCCAGCGACCTGTACGCTGAGCCGATGAGTCAGTTCGTTGCAGGCGGCGTGTCACGTGCCTCTCGGCTGGCGCCCGGCAGGCGCCCGGCCACCGCCGCCGGGCCCCGGCCGCCGGGCGGTCGCAGCCCCCAGCCGCGATGACCGACCGTGACTCACCCAGTCCTCTATGAACTCCTTGACGGCCGATATGGTCAGGATGCACACCAGTGGCGTCAGCGTGGTGTACTTGCCGGTAGGAGACACATCCGGTATTTGCTGAAACAAGGAGCAAGCGGTGGATGAACGTTGCGGCAGGGAAGTCTGCCGCTGTTACGCGTACTTCAATTCCTTGCATCGGGCCCGGGGGTTTTCAATAGAGCTTTCGGGTGGTGGGTAAGGGGTGGCTTTCTCAGTCAGTTTCTCAGTCTCACTCGGCTTTCGTCGCTCTGGAAAAGTAGGATAACATCAGCAGCGTTCACCGCTCTGGAAACGTGGGATAACATAAACAAGGGAGAAACTGAGCGTCGCATGAAACGCACAAGTTCAGACATCGTAACTCATTCTGATTCAGCCAATCCTCTGTCCACCAAACACAAAATGATCCGGAATAAACTCCGGCGAACCATTAAAAGGTAATCCGAGTGAAAGGAAATAGGAAGTTAGCCCAGAGTAGGAGAATCTATCAAGCTTAAATTGGCAAATTCGATTTTACTTTAACACGCGCCCGGGTGGCCGGCTAGATACCCTTCGCTCGGGTGGGGAGAGTCAATTTGACCCCCCTGAGATCTCGGGAACTAAGAGGGCTACAGACACCAAATTTAGAGTGTGTTAACCTGTACGTGAACTCACTTAGGTCACGGTTTTAAGTTTCTCGGTCATGACCTTCGGGTCAAATAACGTCAAACAAGGTCAAATTGCAAGTTGGTTTCCAAAGTGCCCCAGAACCTAGATAACCGTTTCTAAGCAAAAGGTCATATGCTCAGTTAAGGTCAGTAACCTTGTTTCATCTTTTGAATGTCATGGTGACCAAAATCATGCAGACTGCTCTGAGTTTTGCATTTGAATAAGCGACAAAGATTACGCTAAGCAGTATGTTTCTAAAAACAAAATGTTGACCTGGGTCATTTTAGGTTAATGACCTATTCTGACCTCCATGAAGTCCTTGGAAGATATATGATGCGGTTCCTGCTCGATAAATTCGAAATGAGCACCAGAAACTATTCCGTACGGCAAGCCCTAGAGTAATAAAACAGACTGGTTTTGACCTTGGTTTGACCTTTATACCTGACCTTACGTCAACACAATTTGCTCATTCAATACTTGCGTTGCCTAAGAAAGCATCTCAGTGATGTATGGCCTTGCCTAACACTTCGTAGTCGCATGAGATTGAACGATTCCGTTGAAATTGGCTTCGCTGAAACCATGGCCTGACTTTGACTTGCCATAGGTCAGCAACCTTACGAGGTATATCCAAATTTTTGATGTCAAACGATCCGCTATTCAATTGTCTACAGCTATGCAAATTTTGGCGCGGCTGCACCGCGCCGTTCGGAAGCCATTCTGGAAACACCTTGGGTGGGGGGGGGGGGGGCAATCTGACCCCCACCCGAGCGCGTGTCAAGGTAAAGGATATCCGTAGAACCTACACACTGAACCGCTTCAGGAGGCTAGGCAGTCTGACCTTGGCAGCCTCTCTTAGGCACTCCTAAAAGCCGGAACAAAAACAGAACAACCATGAGATGGACATTTGATATCACCTGCGTAGATGAAAACCTGTTTCATAAGGCTGAGTTGAAAGTTAAGAAGGCAATGCCTTGATTGTTAGACGATGTGGAAAAGGTGAGTTAGCTTAGGAAAAGTTTCCGTCGCGGAAAAAGCGCAAGTGGAGAAGTTCGTCAAAACAATAAAACAATGCAAAAAGACAGCCAGGGGATGCACAAAACAACTATTGAAAAACATCCATCGCACATAATCTTCATTTTGAAAAAATCACAATAGGCTCCGGACCACTTTGTTTGCCTACATTTATCGACTTACAACGTCCCGGAGATAAGGGATGCCGCACCTGCAAGACGGCTTTTAAAGGGAGTGCACCACCTTTTTGTACTTTTCACTTATTGTCACATCACGCGCATACGACTTGATCAGTAATGCCAGTTTTCTCGAAGTCCTGAATAGCTCAAAATTTATATTTGAAGTAGCCGGCCCTATGGGAGAAATCTGATTTCACTCCTTGCTCACCACTATGACAGCAACTTCGTATTTGCCTCGTTTTTCCCACGTGCATGTTCTGTAATGTTTGCAACACACCGCTATGTCCAAATGTCTGTGTACTGCATGCTACGAAAGGTTGAAACACTGTTTAAACAAAAAAATATGCAAACATGTAGCCATTATCTCGTGAATTCCACGAAACGTAATACTCTGACTTTGATTTCTCCCTTATAGCGTTTACCATAGTGGTTCTTTTCGAAGCGCACTTTGCCTTCGGGAATGGAACCATGACATGATCCATGTGGCGCAATGGTTCAAAATTCAACCAACCAACTGAGGAATGAGGACAGGTTGTTGATCAGGATGAGGAAGAGCCTTGGTTCGACGATGGACCCTTTGAGTACTCGGTGGATCGGGGAGGGCGGGGTGTAGGAGACGCCGCTCACTGTTTATTTATGGTCGCCCAGGAGGCTCCACAAACACGCTGACTGTACGCCGTGCCACTCAAGTTGGTCCACGACGCCGTGGTTCACGCTATCAAACGCTTTACTCAAGTCCAGCGTCGTTAACGACACACCCTCGCCTTCCTCTAGCTTTTTCCATATCCAGTTGACTGCGTCGCGCATGGCGTCCACTGCGAAATGACGCGGCCAATATGCATACTGGAAAAAAATGGAGAGTAGACCATTTTGGGTGAGACAAGACACAAGTTGAATCGACCAAACTGTCGTCGACAAAGTCGCTCCGATTCGTTACAGCAGGACAATGGAGATGGCAAGAGGCCTCTGAAAGGTCTGTGTTTGCCCCATTACCGGACTTATTGACAGTGTGGGGCGGCGCCCTGGCAAAATGCCAGCCCGCCCGGCGACCTTTCCAGCATGATGCGACTGGCCCATCACCAAGCGTTGCACCGCTTCGTGAACGTGATGGGACAGCTTCAGAAAACATAACAGTGCTGTTGGGAACAACATCCTCGCCGCATGGTCGTGCCCTTCGTCAGGACTACGACGGACGGTACACACTTCACATGTGGTAGTACGTCTTTAACATTTGCGCGAGTGCGTACTGCGCCTTTTCAATTAAAGGGGTTTGGGCCGGCTGAGATCTAATGCCGAGATGATCGTTCGAAGCTTTCGGCCCACTGGCCTTATAATTAGTACAGCCGACACAAGCAACAGGCAAGAGACAGGCAAATAGCCGTCACCTAACGCCACAACCGTTGAGTTTCAAAAGCCACAACGGTTAAGCAAAGAAGCTTCCAGATTGTCCAGCAGGAGGATAGCTAATGAAACAAAAGCAAAGGGTCCTTTTCAGTCCCAACAGATGCAAAATGACTAAAGCATGGCAACTTCCGCAATGTTATGTTCAGTGGACCTAGCCGCACCACTATGCCCGAAAACACTATCACATTCGAAAGTGCGATGACGTGAATATTAGGTATATTTTGTGCTGTAGACATAAGGTCGACGTTTCATTTCGACTCGTCCCTTTTCTTTCGGCTATATCTATCTAACACGATTTGATGGGCACCATATTCATTTAAATTTTTCTGAAAAAAGAATATCCGACCAATACGCGCTAAATGTGTGCCATCATATGTACTGCCAAATTGTAAAGCACCCCCATCCTTCAACAGAATTGCGTATCAAAACCAACACTTCACAAAATCTTACGGTGCGGAGCGAACGTCCGTAAAACACGTCCTAAACACCAGGACGAGAAAGCACGACTTTCGACGCAAAAGCAAATAAAGTTAAAAAAAGACAGTGAAACCCAATCCATTTGTGGAAGTGCAGCCCGTATTTCTAGTATGGCAGATCTTCTTGCTGGGTTTTGTTGAAGCAAATGTACGATGCAGCTTTCGAAATCAGCTTTTTAAATGGCGGCACGCTGGCATTCGAAAAGGCTGAAAAAGCAGACGTTTGAAACACGAATGACTGCTGGACCGCCAAAAGGACACGGGATCGATACAAAAATAACTTCATGATGTATATCATGTGTCATCATCATGGCGCATGCCATCGTCTCATCATATCATTTTCATCATCGGCGCCGACTCCTGAAGTGTCACCCAACCACAAACATCGTTTGGCTGGGTAGGCTGCCTCGGGTGAAGCACAAGAACTGAGCTTGAAGATATGACGAAAACATGATCAGATCTGTGTGAGCGATATCATTTCCTAATGCGGATGACTTTGTCAATGAATAAGCCTCGGGGGGGGGGGCAATTTGCGGGAAAATTTCTGACTTAAGCTACGACTACTTTTAGCCCTCTTCAACGAGTTTGCGTACAACTGACACCTCTGCCCTCCTACTTCCTACAGCTGTCATGTTCTTCTTCGTGCGTTACTGTAACTTTGCTTCCGCTGGTTAGCTGGGAGTGCGACGACTCGATCTTTTTTGCTTCCTAGTCCACACGTTTTTTTTTGGGGGGGGGGGGGAGTCGCAAGGATAGAGGGAGGGGAGTAAGGAGTCGCAAGGATAGAGGAAGGGGAGTAAGGAGTCCTGGTGATTTGTTCATGGGTGACGGCTTGGGAGAGAAATCCGCGTCCATTTCCGAGAAGAGCTACACTGGTACAGGCCACCGCAGGTAGTTCCCTTGTTTCCTACGTGGCGGCCGCGTGAGGCTTCTGCCATCCCCCTCCCCCCCCCCCCCGCCGGGGCCCACTATAAATAAATTCAAATGGCGCCACATCCGGCTCTGGGAGTCCCGGTGATGTCATCCTGCCGGTCGTTGCACGGGCGCCGCCGCTCTGCACCGCAGTTCAGACACGAGCGGCCCATGGGTACCCGTATAGCACTGGCAACGGATTGGGGTTGGTGCATATTTTGACAAAATTGCTTGGGGTAAGAGCTGACAAATGTCGGATAGACAGCTCAGGATGATGATTGGGGCTTGGAGGCAGAAATACTATAAAATACTTCTGTTTGCGCTTCGTTTAATTCTTACGACAGGTGGGCACGGGCACAGCCTCACCGGTAGTGGATGCCTTCGGTCAAGGAAACCTAAACCGCGAATATCTTTAGCTCAAACCCTGTAAGACCGCAGCAAAGCCCGCCTCAGCCGTGCCTAAGCAGGCGGGCAGTTGCCGGTCGGCCTGATTCCGACTGGGACGGCCTGGCGGGCGCCTGGCCGTGCCCGGCGTCAGCGGTGGCGCCGCGTCCAGCCGACTCCATCCCGGCCGCCCTCATTACCACGAGCTATGCGCCGTGAAGGGCGGACGCACCGGCGCCGGCAAAAAACAGCCCTAAATCAGCCTGCGCGCCTCCCTCAGGAGTCGCAAATCGCTCGATCACGCTCGAAGCCCGACAAAGGGCCGCCGTAACGAAGGCGGGCCGCTCCACGTGGCTGACCACAAGCTGAGCAGAGTGCTGCAGCCGGGACCTCGCCAACAAACAGCCCATGTTGCAGCGGTTAGGAATTGAACATTTTGCTGGAATTCCACATCTGCCAGCCGAATATGCTGTCCAAATAGCTGCATGCTAGTGCAGCGTACACCGGAAGACCACGCACTTCCGGATCGTGACAGGGCAAAATAAAGCATGCCGCGCTCGACGGCGACGGAGCAAATCCACCCCCATATAAGGCGCGCCATGAGGCCGCATCACGGCGACAACGACGCCACTGCTGACGAGAGGCCCGCGCTTATATAAGCTGTGCAAACACGGGCGCCGTCACACGATGGAGCGGATGGCGCGGCTGCGTGGTGGTGCCGAGTGCATCTACTGCGACGTCACGTACTGTGACGTTCCACACTATATTACGACGCAAAATTTATGGCAGTCAGCATTTCTGAGATTCAAAGACAGGCAGGCTAACGTCCCCCTAATTTAAAACAAAGTTTCATGATGTATTTTCAGCATGTTAAGAAGGCAAGACAAGCAATTTCGGCACAGGTTTGAAGTACGTGGAATTTTCTTCCAATTGGTGCAAAGCATCAACTACGTATTTGCCATTGCTCCCAGTAAAATGTGAAAAGAAAAGATGAGCCAGGTTGAGCCAGCCGCATAATGTTACGAGCAGCACTAGGAAGAGAATAAGACAACGCTTAAAACAAGCACCGCGTCCGGACCATCGACTTCACCTGGAGCACACTCAAGCAGCTGGTGTACGAGGGAAGCTGGACAGCGAACAGCAAAATTCAAGTGGCCCGCGGGATCAAGCGAAGGATGAGGACGCAGACATCTGTCACATATAAAGACGTCTAAAGACATTGTGCGAAAGATAATATTTGTCCCCGATTTTAAGGAACACACATATTCCTAGTTTCCAACGCAGGGGAAACCAAGCGGAAGGAATCTCCTCTCCCTCCCGCCATTGAGGGGCGGATAACAATGAAAACCCAAGTGTCACAGAGATGGTGTTCAGCATAATTCCGAGCCCTCACCAGTGTCATTGCATGCTGATATATAAACACTACGCACAAACGCATTATGTAATGGTAACACCACGAAACACAAGAACCCACACAAAACCTCCACCAGCGAGAGAAGGCGTCTTGGCATGTCAACCAACTGACCTGCAGCAGCGCGATGAACAGGAAGAATATGTTTGAGTAGCGGCGGAACTGCTCAAACAAGAACTTGGGCAGGAAGGAGAAGACGCTGTACTTGGCGGTGGTGATGGCGTTGGAGACGCACTTGTTGGCCGGCTGCTCCTTGTTGAGATATACCGTGCGATGCTCGGGCGCCTCCGCCGCCTCCGTCGCCATCGAGCGCGCATCCTCGTCTGACGAGACAGACAACACATCCGTCATACGGCTGTCACACGGCGTCGTGTCAGTCACACAACAGTCGTGTAGGTTGCACAACTGCCTAAAGCTTCCTGGTATTGTTCGCATCTGTCACGTGGCCTCCTCACACCACTGCAATCAGTCACACGACCGGCAAACATCACTCGCATGTGCCCCGACCTCCACACACCATCATGCACCGCACCGCGCCTTTGCTCCGCCTGCACCAGCCACACGCCGGCTGACGCCAGCAAACCTGGTCACATGATTTCGCGGGGCTTCCTCGAGCCAATCCACATTTTTTACACAGCTTCCTAGCATCATCCAGAATCGTTACGCAGCTATCTGTTTTGGATCATTCACAATTGGCATGTCTCTTGTCGTTCTTAGCCTCCGAAGCTCCTTTAATCTTGGCACCGCCGAGGCTTCGCGCAAACCGAAAACTGAGAAGGGGTACCTCAGCCCCTGCTACCTCGGAACAGAACACAGACGCATGCATAAAAGGAAGCGTCAATACACAACTGATGACCCCTGGACCTAGTTGCGTGGAGCGAATTTATGAACCAATGTACCCTGGTGCAACTGGCTTCATTACGCTTCGTATTCTTACATGGCCTAAATTCGTAAATTCGTGAGTTCGTAAATTTGCTTCATGAAACTAAGCCTGTAGAACTTTCACCTAGGTTGTCTACTAATTTGAGGTCAAGCCCAAGGTCTTACTAGTTCACTCGGCGTTCGTCACTTCATTCGCACACAATCGACACGCCAATCGTCTGCCATTTCAATCTGTTAGCAAACAAACGGTTGGGTACGCCACATCAACAAGTCCAAGGTCTTACTAGTTCACTTGGCGTTCGTCACTTCATTCGCACACAATCGACACGCGAATCGTCTCCGTCCTTTCAATATGTTAGTAAAGAAACCGTGTTGGGTGTACCATATCAACTTATTCAACCGATAATTATGTGCTGCTGGCATTTCATTTACGGCACGCAGTTGTCCAGCCAGTTACATTTCAAGGTCAACCTAGGTCAGCAACAAGGCTTGAGATTCCTCTCAAAAACTTTGCGGGTCTAGAGCCGGGGTTGGTTGAACACAATACCCTCGGTGGGACGTCAATTCCCCCCCCCCCCCCCCCCCCCCCCGTGATCTATTGGAAATAAGAAAGCTGAAGACAACACATTCGCAAAGTAGAGAAGCCTCGACGATTTATGACAACGTAATTCGTTTGTGTGATTTTTTTCGTTTCTAGGTCATGACAATCGGCCAACTTAGGTCAAATAAGGTCATACGCAACCAACTGGAACCCACATATTTTACTGAAACAAAATTTCAATCCAGGTTATTTCAGGCCTCGATCTTAAAACCTTATCTGATCTCTAGAACCTCAAACTGACAAAAAATCAAAATTATTTTGGTGTTATAATTTCAAACAGGCGTTTAGATTTACACTAGGTTGTGTTCTTCCAAGTAAAGGTATGTTCAAGGTCATTTTGGGTCTGTGACCAGAACGATCTTGAACAATCCTAACCTTCACAAAGTCACCGTAAAAATTTGCTAACGTCTTTGTGAGCAGCAAACTCCGCATGATCGTCATAAGCTACCTCATCCCCAAGCAGATTTTCCCGTAAAAAAACGGTTTAGTTTTGACCTTGACCTGACTTTTGTCACTGATTCAAAGCCGATAAAATTAGTCCTAGCCCAAATTAAAACCTTAATTTTCTGAGATACCACCTCAAGTTGCATGAGTTCGTCCAAAACTCTGCTGCCCACTCAGCTCGAAAGCTGCTCTGCCCCTGACCTGTATTTGCCGGCGGATATGGGCCGGCCTTGAGCCGCTACGAGGCTTGTAAGACATGCCTTAATTTTTACATCACGAGGTCGGCTTTTCCACTGTCCACTGTGCAAATTTTGGCGTCACTACGTCATGCCATTCGGAAATTATTTGGGGAAAACTTACAGTGGATTAACTTGACCTCGGTCAGGGCACTTAAGCATACGCTTGTCGCCGTTCGAACAGTGACTTTATATACGTATCTATCAATCTCAAAAATTAAACTATAGGTAATTCAAGCCTATCGTATCATCTTTTTTACACAGAAGCTAAACATGTCGTTTTTACTCGTGCCGGGTGCGCAGCTTGCGAAGGACGAACGTTATTATGACACGCCGAAGACGCAGTACTTTTTTTGCGTAACTTGAGTAGCTGCCGCGGTTCTGTTGCTGTTTTCTTTTTTGGAGGGGGAGTGGCGATAGCCTGGCATGTGTTTCTGTAAAACGGTGACTGTTAGCAGCACCGTTCTGAACAACAGCAAAAATCCGTTCAGGCTTTCCTAACCGAAATTATACTGCCTATGGGGACCATAGACAGAACAACTATGCGGCTAGAGGGACCACGGTATCCAGAGCGCCGTGAAGACGATAATAATTCTGAACGCCTACAGAGGTCCTGACCGGCAATGATTAGGAATACTTCCCTAGCGACCCGGGGGACCCTGAAAGGCCATTGGAGTCCCAGAGCAGTCAGAGGCCCTCAGCCGTAGGCTCCTGAGCATCACGAAAGGCACTGAGCAGCTTAAACGATCCATGAGCGGCTAGAGACGCTGAGCACACGGAGGACTTTACCTAGGGATTATTACTTAAGTAAATAACCAAGGGATCTTACGTAGCTATAAGAGCTCTTAAGTGGCCAGAGTACCCATGGTGGCCAGGCAGGGCTCACTGAACGGGGAAAGGATCCCACAGCGGCCAGACGGGGCCTGCTGAGGCCATGAAGGCCGTCTGTCCAGGCGCCACGCTGCTGCTACTGTTTGCATTTCTACGCCACTGTCACAAGTTAAACTTTGGTTTTAAACAATGGGTCATCCCCTTCAGGACGACCACCGTTCTTTGGGCTGCGCAAACCCAAGACGTCTCCCCATGCCTTAACCTGAACCCCCACTTCGGGACGTTGAGCAGGCAGGTTTTGGGTTTGCCAGGGTTTGGCTCCTCCTGACAACCCGGAACCTCCAGTGGCCAGTGGTGTCCCTGAGCAGCCAGAGAGATCAGTGGGCGGCGGTGGTCCACAGCTTCCTGGCCACAACATCTCGGTGCAGCCCCCCCCCCCCCCCCCATAAATCCGTTAGAGCCTGATCGCACCTGTGCCATCTGTTACGCAGCTGCTATGCATCAAACCCGTCACGCCCATCTGGCGAGGTAGACGTCTGTGGTTCGCGCCACCTGCGCCCCCCCCCCCCCCCTCCCCTGTGCCACGGTTGGTGACCTCTCTTCCCTCCGCCATCCATCCAACACACAACTTACGTTTACACGAGGGTGGCAGCACGCATCGAACGTGGCAGAGGAGTGTGCCAACGAGCGCCATCGTGATCCGCACGAGCGGACGGCGACGTCGGCACCGTGAGGCCGGCGGCCTCTGCGCGCGGCTGACGCTGGGGATCACGGACGCCGCGTGCGCCGTTCCGTGTCCGCTGGACGACTGGCGGCCCGGCCGGCGCCAGCGGCCCCAGCTGCGGTCAGGCCGCTCTCGCCAGCTGGCAGTTCCTCGCCGCGCCCCGATAATGCGGCAGGCCTGTCGCCAGTCCGCGTCCCGGCCGGCCGCCGCCGAGCTGAGCCGCCAACGCTAAATGCCTCAACAGGCCACCCTGGTGTCCAGGCGCCGTCGCTGAGCGGCGAAATGCCGCCGACGACAGCTTCTTCAGCTAACATTTCAGATTACGATCTGTCACAAAGAACTAGCAAGAAAGACGATAGAAGGAAACACTCAACGGCGAATGCACAACGCAAAAAATCCCGAGCGATTCAATATAACGAGTGATCGTGACGTATGTTAAAGCAGCATGGTCAGCGACTTAAGCCTTCTTTGCTCGAGCTTAAGGGTTGGTCTGCGCCAAACTCATTTCTCCTTCACAACCCAAGCTCTTTTTGACGCGCCGTGACCGACAACCGTGTCGGACGGGCGTGACTTCATATCGCGAATCGTCACGACGGTCGGCCCCGTGGTGCCAATTCCACTGCCATCTGTGTAACCGCCGGTCCTGTACGTCTTGCTAACAAAATATGCACACACAGATGTACGTTGTTATTGCTATAGCTGAGATAACAGGCTGTTGAGTTGCTGCCAGCTCATGTCGGTTTAAGCAGTAAAGAAAACAACGATTGAAACCCGAAAGTAGAAGAAACTAGCAGCAGCCGACTGGAATGATACACTTGTAAAAACCTGTAGTCACACAACTGATATTTTGGCAGTTGTCGGCCACCAATGAGCCCAATCATCGCATGGCTGCAGCTAACAATATGTTGTTTCGAGACAAAGATTCGTTCCATACCAACCATACCACACCAACCGATAACTAGCTACATACCCAATCAGCCGATTTATGCCAAAAACATATACATATATTTTGAAAACAACTAATGTCGGCTACCGACAAATACGAAAAAGCGGGCCGATTCCGTGGAGAAGCCCCTCGTTGGCGTATTTTGGGGGTAGGTTGCGTCACATTTCTGGGCTCCGACCACCATCCCCTCATTTTGCGGAATTCCGCCCCTGAGCTGGGGTATCATCACATGTTGGTGAAAACAGAGTGGCATTTACGACGTTTTGGCAGTTGTAGGTTGTGGAATATCCAAATCGCCCGTGGGATCATACGCAGGAGCGAACCCAGAATTTGACAACAATGGGAGAGGGGGGAGGGGGGGGGCGCAGCTTAACAATCTCTTTAAAAAACATGTTTAGCGCGCGCAGTCTTGTACGGTGTAAAAACGTTGCATTCGCTTGATTTTCTCGTCTCTACGCGTCTGCTTGACATTTTGAACTGTCAATGTTTGAGCTTGTACATATTGATACCAGCCACCACGTGTACGCCCGAGTGAAACCGTGTTGGTCTCATCGATTTGTGCCACGCGAAAACCACGCCATGCTCTGGTTGAGTGTCCAGTATGTGCCCCCCCCCCCCCCCCCCTACCAGCCACCACGTGTACGCCCGAGTGAAACCGT